CCAAAGAAGGGAATTTTGTTGTTTACGCCGATGTTCATCATCTTTTCGGATGGAAATTGTGTCGTATCACCGTTAAAATTTGATTCATTGATGCCAATATGTCGGTTTGGAAGCTGTTGATCATCAGCAACCCTTCTGGAAATACCAGGTAAACAAGAAACAATAGATTCATCGACGATATTGCGGCCAACTTCATCAACCTCTGATTCAATAGTTGAGGTGATGGTATCTGGTGATGATTCAGCAGCACACATTTGTTTTGAAACGTATTCGTTTTGATTAGAAGCAATTGTTTGTGGCGCTGTATTTTGCTCGACACGTAAACGAAGCTCAAACATGTTGACATATTGATCGCTCCAATCGGCTATCATCATTGGTTGATCATGGCGGTAAAGGATCATGCCTTCACTATCAGTTTCGCCATTAAAACCCTTCTCGCGGCAAAGTTGACCGATTGAAATGACATTAAATGGTTGATCTGGGATGAACAATACATCGCTAATTACACTTTTGATCCACTGTTTGCCATTGAAAACTTCACAAGGAAGATCGCCGATGATGGTATTTCGAACAGATCCATTCATTGATTGAATTGATTGTTCAGTACGACGCTGATTAATCAATAGATTTTGGTCGTTCACCATGTGATTACTTGTACCATATCCAGCATAAAATTTTGGCGTTGGTGGTGTTGGCAGATCAGCTGACTCAATCGTTGACACTGCTGCAATCAGAGAAACTTTTCGGTCTTTTAGTTTCTTTTCATCATCGTACCGTTGTTGTTCGTCGTTCATGCCGCTTTTGCAATTTACGAATCGATTTACGATTTGACGAACATGTTGAAAACGCCTTTTCGGGCTTAAGACTTTTGTCTTCTTCGCAAACACCATCGATGTACCATTAGATTGATTCTTCATTGATGAAGTATTGGTGATGCGGGATTATCATTCATCGATCAATCAATCACATGTTGATTAAATATAGATCAAGATCATCGTTCGTTTGAATAATTCAAACATGAATATCGTTTTCTCTAACAATACCAATCGATCAATCAATCATTTTGATTAAAAATCAAGATATCGTTCAATAATTATCACATGAAAATTCAATGAGAAGATAAAATTAAATCAATGTTGTGTCTATGAATATAAATTTTTTTTTTGGTTTATTGTTCCTATCCATTGATCTCTATCGATGAGAAAATGAATACAATGATAATCAGATCAATTGATGTATAAAATAAAGCCTAATCATAGATCCCAGGCTAATCAATGGATACTGATAATTTTAGTATTCCAATCAATTAAAACATTCATCAGGCAATAACTTTCATTAAATCAAATTCCAAATTATGTTTTTGTGTTTTAGCGAGTGGAGAATTTTTTTTTGTTTGTTGTAGCTTTTTTTTTCCATCACCATTTTTTTGGTCATGGTCAATTAAACTTGATGATCATTATCATGATTTGAAATGACGACTGGTCAATTATAATGAATCATCATAAAATATATGATTCGGGATATTATCGTGTAAATTAAATTAAACGTATCCATCTGTTTAATCTAATAACTTATAATACCCGTATAGACATGGATTACATACATTTATTTTTTGTTCTCATTTAATTAATCTATTTGTCGGGTTCAATTTATTCGGACATTTATGGACATTGTTTCATCACAACAACAACAACAGATCTCCAATCATCAGTATCACAGAGAGAAAAATTTTGTTTCTGACCATAGTTATGTTGAATTCTTAAAGAATTCCGGTCAGATAAAAAAAAAACTTTGCAGAAACAAAAAAAAAAAGAATATCAATATCAATATCATCATTTGTATATAACTGTTGTGATATATAATTAATAATTAATTTTTTTTTTATTTACTGGACAGTAACAAACACAAACATTCACATTAACTATCCATTTCAATGTAATCAACAAAATAAATGAATGAAAAACGTATAAACACATCAAATATGTCAGTATGTTCCAAAGAAAAAAAAAATGATAATAAACTGATTCAAAGATAAATGTCATGGGAATTGATGGAAAATGGGAATGAATGAATGAATGAATGAAACCAAAAAAAAAAAAAAAATGAGTAAAACGATGCATCGGGTATAATATAATATGTCAGATGAAACAAAAACACACACACACACACACAGCCAATGCTAAATTATACGAGTGGGAGGTAAGATAAGATTTTTTTTTCTTTATTTTTCATGTATGTCCGAATCTTTATACACATCGTTGGATATTATGGGCTCAAAATAATAAAGGAATTATATCCGGGTGTTTGGTGTTTGTAAATGACAGAAAAAAAAAAGTCGGGTGTTTATATATATGAAAAAAAATCTCGTTCAAACCGGTATTTCGTATTTTCTTTGTTTTATAGCCTGTTTGATATGGTTGGTATGTTTTTGTCACAATTTGAAATATAAATTTTCTTTATATTTTCATCTTTTTTTATCATAATGTTTGCTCATAGTGTGTGTGTGTGTGTGTCAACGAATTTTGAAACAACATAAAAGAGGCAACCTTTCTTTTGCCGTGATAAAATTGAATTAAATTTTCTCTCTTTATGATATTTGATGTGTTTGATGATTTTGTTATTCGATTTTTTTTTCAAAAAAAACCCATCTACCGAATCTTTTTTTTTGTTTCGATTAAATTTAAATTCCTGTTAAATGTTATTCGGTTCTTTTTCAATGAAAAAAAAATTATGGCATAACATTCGTTGAAACTTCTAAAAGTAATATTCGTACTTTTATTTTAACCATTATAAAGACCATCACATCATACTGTTATACAATATGCACAACAGCACAATGTTTTTTTTTGTTATTCAATAATTTATCAACAACAAGAAAAAAAAAAAACACAGAGACTTTATCAACCAACCGATTTTAATTTGAAATTGAATGAAATGAAATTCTTGATAATTCATGATTTCAATTCTTATCCGTCAGTATTATTAGTGTTTTGGGATTTTGTTTCTTTTTTGTTGCATGGATGTATGTTTTTTAAGTTTTTTCATTATTTTGGCCAGAAATAAATTCAATATTAATAACATCATGAAATGGGAATGTAGAAGAAAATCCCCAAAGAAAGTATGCAGTGTGTGTGTGTGTGTGTGTGTGTTTGAGTTCGGTTTGTAAGTAAACAAAATTCGTAATTTTTCAATGAATATCCAACCATTTTACAAGGAGATGAGATGATGATGATGATGAAAAAAAACATCGGTTCATTTTTTTCCAGTTGTCTGGCATGTTGAATTATTTATTAGATGAAAATGAAAAAATAAAGAAAAAACATTTTCATTTTCATTTTCATTTCCATCCACTTTGAGCCAAGTTATAATGAAGAATTACAACATTGATATGAGTGCATTACTTGATCCACATCATTTTGGTGGAAAAATATAACTACTTAACTCTATGTATGACATTTGATTTGTTTTCAAGTAATAAATTGAAAATGAAAATGAAAATGAAAAAAAAAATTCCTAACCAAAACCATCATAATGATCATCATGATGATTATTTCAAGAATAATCCTGATCATTGAAATGAATGAAAAACAAAAACAAACAAGAATGACAAGAATCAAACATGAAAAACAAAACAAAAATTAAATCTTTCATTTTTTTTCATCACAATTTTTAAATTCAAAATTCAAACGATATTTTCAACGAACTAATAATAATAATTTTTTTTTTCTTCTGTATTCTCACTTTGTGATATGAAAAGTTTTTATTAATAATACTTTTTTCAACAAAAAAAAATCTGGCCAACTAGAACTTTTCAATTATATTTAATTCATTCATTCATTCATTCATTCATTGGTTATTCTTATGGAATTTGTTTCAGAATTTGAATGAAATTTTGTATTGAAAAAATTTCTATTGTTTAGTCAATATTTCATGTTGATTTTTGTTGAGTGAATTTTGAACAATAATTGGAAATGAAAATTTGAAACAAAACAAAAAAAAAATTCTTTAGACCTATCCATATATATTAATTAGATCCTTATGCACTTATTATTAATTAGTTTGAGTTAAATATTAATATTTCATTTCATTTCAATTTTTGCAGAATTGAATCATGAAATTCAATCATCCACCACACACACAGTGACCTTTTTCAATTGGTCTGGCCATATGGAATTCAATTTGATTTTGTTTCATTGAAGTTTAATTAATACAATGATGTGTGTGTGTGTGCGCGCGCGTGTAATTTATTAATCGATCATCAGCAATTTTTTTCCTCTTCATTGGTTCACATTTTTTCATTGGAATTTTTTTCTCTCGTGTGTTTCGAGCTTAAAAACTTTCTCAAAGTTCATTACAAACAAATTTCATAAGAAAAGAAAAGAAAAGAAAAAAAGAAAAAAAAGAACCAGAATCCAGAAGAAAATATCGTAGCTTCGTGGCCATAATCATTGAATGAGTAGTTTTTTCATGACACTTTCACTTTCTCTTCGTTTCTCTTTATGATTCCATCATCATCATCATCATTGTTTGGGCTTGGCTATTGGCAAATAATAATAAATAATAGCACAAACAATTTTGAATGGGCCAAAAAAAAAGCGGAACAAAATCGATCGATTACAATTTTATTGTTCAATTCAATTGTATATATATATATATCAATGACAATAACGGCTGACACATTCATCTCATACACAAAAAACATTATTTTTTTACTTTGTTTGAAAATAATGTTTACGAATGAAGAATATAAATCCACTATTACTTAATAAAAATAATGATGATGATGATAATAATAAGAATAAATTGTCAATTATTGCAATATTAACAACAACAAAAAAAAACCAAAATGCCAAATATTCTACCATAACAATGATCAAATATTATCGATTATAATTCAGTGATCATTATTTTTTATTATTATTCCAATCTATCTGGAGTGTGGAATATAATTTTTTTTATTTGAAATTCAATAAAAGTGAAAAAAAACGATGATGATGCAATCACATTCATCATCATCATCATCATCATCGTCATCATCACAACCGAAACGTAAACAATCATCATCATCCAGATCTAATTTAATGTTAGTTGGTCTTGATGAAGAATCAACATTGATCCATCAACAACAAGAATTACCATCACCATGTCGATCACCACAGCCATCTGTACGAACAACACCAACGATGATAACACCGACAAGTGCGGTGAGAAAATTTCCACAGCTCAGTATTGATACGAGCCATGCTCAAAAATTAATTCTAACCAGTACACATCAACAACAACAACAACAACAATCATCATCATCAACATCACCAGTGAATAGCCATTATCATACACATGAAACCAATAATTTACATAATAATAGTCATCAAATTCTAAATGAAAGTGATACACCAGTTCCAACGCCTCCTCCACCGCCCAATAGTTTTAAACTACCTCTTCATCATCATCATCAACATTATGAATATCCTGTGGTCGTTGATGATGTTGATGTTGATGTTGATGTTGATCATGATCCTGTCCATCCAGTACAAGGTTCATCAACAGCTGTTTTTACCCATCATCATCATCATCATCATGGATGTGCTATTCATTCACAATCAGTTGATACGGCCCGAGCCTATCATCATCATCATCATCATCATCATAAAAAACGTCGTCATCGTGATTCTAAACGACGAAGATTTCGATTTTCATTTCGAACAAAAAATTCTGTTGCTGTTTCATTGGAAACCATTCCAGCTCCTCCAATATCAGCAACCACAACAAATATACATCCAAATCATCATCATCATCATACGGAACATCAATCACGAGCTTCTTCGATTGCATCATCAACATCGGATCCAACCAGTTGTAATTCAAGTTTATTAGCCACACAACAATCTAATTCACAACGTCAACAATCACAACATCAAACGACCATTGACATACATACAAAAAAACCAAATGGTGGTCTAAAATCAAAAAAGGTAACATTTTGAATGAAAACTGCCAATTCAGTAATTATTAAAAATTTTTGCTGACCCATAGAAACCTATTGATTTTGTATGGCTAATACTTTTAATGGTTCTTTTTTGTTTCTTATTTGTTTGGCTAAAAATAGCTAAAAACTTTGATACATCCATTGGATCGTTCAATAGTTGGCATATTTTTGCTGACAATTTTTTTCACCATATTGGCATTGTTAACCGGTGCGCCAACAGTACTGTTTTTGTTGATATTATTGCCAATATTCATCTTTATAAAGCGAATTTTTCAATGTACATTATTCACATCGATTACCGATCAAGAGCCAATTTCATCAGTTGATTCATTTTGGCTTCAAAAGGGACATATCACCCATTGCCTAATGTATCTGGACAAAGGTTTGTCCATACAACAACTTCGTGATGTTATTGCCACACGATTGCTAACAAAGCCAGAACTTGCTCGTTTCAAATCACGTCTCATTCGTCGTGGATTATGTGGTTCACAATATTGGAAATATGAACCAGAATTGAATAATTTTGATGACCATGTTATCGAAGATGAACCTATCGATTGTAAACGATCATTGCGCAAAAGATTAATGGCCTTTATGGGTCAATCATTACCGATGGACAAGCCTTTATGGCAAATCCGTTATTCACTTGCTTCCTATTGTGATCAAGTTATTCTCATTATTCGTGTTCATCAAACCCTTTCACAATCTGGCTTAGTATCTATTTTAACTCATTATCTTTGCGATTCAGTACCCATGTGTTCGGCTCAAAAAGCTCGTTTTGGCTCGGCCACTTTGTCTATTAATATTTTACGTGCAATCATTGTTGGACCATTAACATTTTTTCTTTGGATTATGTGGGCGTTCACTCGTCGTCATCACAACTATTTAACCAAAGCTAAAGAAATTAAATCAATACATTGGTCAGCATTAGATTTACCAAAGATTTACAGAATCAAACAAGTGACCAGAAGGTAAGTAAACAATGATTATGGTGATTACCGTAACGATTGATCATTTTTTCATCAATCGACAGCACTCTCAACGATGTTCTATTAGCCTGTATTGCCGGTTCTATACGTTCATATCTTACAACCAAAACTAATATTATTAATCCACCGGATTTAACGATTTCTATTCCGGTCGATATCAAACCACAGACGCCAATCGAAGCAAGCTTAACTGGAGTTAATTATGTTTTAAGTAATTGTATTCTATATGAATGACTTACTTTTATATCTAATGTTATGATTATTTTTTCTAGCTTCATCACCCATACCAACAAATACAGAGGGTGCTATTCCTCGATTGTGGGAAGTACGTCATCTGATGGAAGAGCTCAAAACTTCGGCCGATACGGCAGTAATGTATGGTTCACATTATTTATTGAGTCGATTCCTGCCACAGAGTATATATCGTGTGTTAATGAATTTGGTCAATCGAAATTCTTCGGTTTACATGTCGAATATGACGGGTCCAGAGACTGCGTTAAGTATTGGATCACATCGTTTAAATAAAGTGTTTTATTTTTTATCACCGCCTTCATACTGTTCGCTTGTATATAATATATTCAGTTATGATCAAAATATTTACATATCAATTGCAACCAGTTCAAAATTGATTACCAATTCAAAGGAATTGATGCGTCATTTTTGTGGTCAAATTGATACTCTTCATGAATTGTTATCAAAACGACGTGTACCTGGTGAATCAAAACGTACAAAACGTCCGATGTTTCTTGGTGATCAACTGGCTGCTCAACAGCAACAATTATATGGTAATCAACAAGCTACTTCACTAATTGAAGTTCCGGCTATTGCTGGGTCTGTCGATCTTTCCGATAAACTTCATGAAATTCAAGATGAACTTAATCAATTATCCGGAGCATATGAAATGGGTGATCCTGGAGTTGTTCAACGTTGTGAAGAATTAAAAGAAGAATTCACAACTATATTGTACGAAATGCGTCGACGTAAATCATTGGCTGATTATGGTCATGTTAGCAATATCGTCATCAATATAGAGGTAAAATTTTATCTATCTAAATGATCTGTTTTTATGAATTTATTATTTCTCAAATAGAATCAAGATGACGATGATAATGATGGAGAATTGAGAACCATAGCACCTCGTAGATTTTCCGTTGTTAGTATTGGTCGTCGTGCATCGATTGTTTCAAGTTTACCAACATCATCACGAGTGACACCACCCATATTGTCAAGACGATCAATGGCTACTAGTCCAGAACCACCATCTAGTCCAGAAGTTGCATTCAAAGTGGAAACAGAATGTTAAACATGAAAAAAAAGTGAATAATTCCGAACCAATATGAATAAAATCTGTGATATTCATAAAAGTTTTTTTTTGTGAAAATTTAACTATAATATAAATTCTTTATTGTTATTTCTTATTCATCAAATTTTGCCCTATTATTAAAAATCTATGCCCATATAATAAAGATTACTTTTTAGTTTATTTGAATTGTAAATGTTTACCAATGTCATTCATGGAATTTAAGGAATTTGAAAAAATGATTGATGGCAAAAAAAAACAGCAACAAAAAAAAACGACTACCACTCATCGAATGGTTACCACGGACACTCGATTGCATTGTAATGATTAGATGGAGAAAAATTACAACAAGCATTTTATTTAAAAAAAAAATTGCATAGCCATTCTCCACTTTAATAATGTGATGATTCGATCTGCTCAATTATGTACTTGAATAATCATTTTATCACATACACACACACACACATACAATTATAATATTGTCATTAATTAATCAATTTATGTTTATGTTTAACTTGGCTCGACAATTATTATTTCGTTTCGATATTGGTAATACGAATGTACAATTAATATTGATGATGATGATGATGATTTTGTATTGATAATGATGATGATGATGATTTATACAAATTTTTATTTGGATCATTTTAACATATTATTCTGAATGTGAATCAATCATAGGATCATCATGCAATTGTAAAGCTCATTCGTATGATTTTAATGTACCCGAAGATGCTCGACAACGTATTGATTTCCGTAAGTATATTCATTAGGCATCTTTTTATTATTATTATATCTAATTATAATGGCCAAAAAAAAATCAGTTTGCTGTGATGGTAAACAAACAGATGATGCTAATAATCATAACGATCAACAACATTTAAATCAATTGATTGAAAAAATTAATGATGGAAAAATATTTGTCGATCAATTCATCATAAGAAGTTTGAATCCTGAATTGATATTCCAGCATGATTCATTGGAAATAAATTGGCTAGAAATTTCAAATATTGATATGAATTCATATCAATTTGCCAGTCAGCATAAAAATTTGTATATCCATCAATTGGTTATATCAAACGTTCGAATGTATCGACAATTATTGTACTTTATACAATCATCATGGAATCATCTTGAAATGATTCATTTGGATTCATATCAATTGATTGATGATGATCGATTACAACCACCGTATCATTTTCTCATATTCAATCAACCATTCGAAGTATATTCCAAATTAAAAACATTAAATATGATTCGTTGCAATATAAAATCATTGGCCGGTGTAGATCTATTGAAAAATGTGGCAAATCTTCGGATGCTTTCGTTGGCACATAATCAACTGACAAGCATTGATAATGTAAATTTTTTTCCAGCTGATTCCAAAGAATTTCGTTCACTTGATTTGAGTTATAATCAACTGAGATGGTTGCCAGCTAATTGGAAACTACCATCTTCTTTGACTCATCTACATCTGGATAATAACGAAATAACCATATTTCCGAATAATGTTTATCATTTAAATAATTTACGAGAATTTTGGTTTCAACGTAAGATTGATATAATTTTCGAAATATATTGATCTCATAGATTCATTGATAATTTATTTTCAGAAAATCGTCAAAGCTGTGAAAATGTTAAACGAATATTTCAAAAGAAAATTCCAGAAATTTTTATTTGTTGGACAGACAAAATTGTAACAATGAACAAGACAAATAACATTGTGGAATATATCGCAAGGTTTCATCGGGATTAATTTTTTTCGAAATTTTATCATAACTTATTGAAGATTGTTTTTTCAGAAATTTTTTAACTTTTTCTTTATTTGTATTGAAATAAATGATTAATTCATACGAATTTTTTTTCAATTTGTTGGCGCGTCATTTTTAAATTCCATACGTCCTATTTGAACAGTCTTTTGTTTACATTTTTTTTTGCCATCAATTTTTGCGATTTGACAAATTTTGCCATGTCAATATTTTAAAAAACTCCTACTCAAGATCATTTTTGAATAAAAATCTTAAATTTAAAAATGACCTAATATTCTGTTGTTTTTGTTGAGACTTTTCTTGTAAAAAAAATGGCAAATCAAGTAAATTTCTGTCTATTTTTAACATGTTTACCATTTATTATGTTGATCATTGGATCGGTCGATGGCCAATATGAAGATGTTCGATGTAAATGTATATGTCCAGTGCCTAGTGTTGTAAGCAATGCAACCAAAGGTACTACAAGAAAATTATACATTAGAAATGTAGCTCCCAATCAATGTAATTGTGATTTCGTTGTTCTGCCACAATTATCATCCGATGTTCAATCGAAAGCAAAAGAATTTTGTCCACGCTGTGAATGTAAATATGAATCAAGAGATACATCCATTATTCGTTTCTTTGTCATATTCATCATTGGTGTCATATCTTTTCTGGTCATTTATATGCTGTTTCTAATGATTCTTGATCCATGGATTCATAAACGTATTTATTTTTCATATTGCAATTATCAACAAATTTTTCATTTATATTCTATTCGATTTCAATCAGGTCAATCAAGGAACAGTTATAAATATTTCAATGAAGAAGTTTCATTAGAAGAACATGAACAACAGCCATCGGATGGATCGCAACAACAACAACAACCACAACAACAAGAACATCAACAACCTCCTCAACGAGATTCGGATAGTCAATCCGCTAGACATCGAATATCATCATCATCGTATGTATTGTTAATAATTTTTTTTTAGAGAAATCCATTCAATTTTTTTTTCATTCAAATTTAGTGGTATAACCGATGATGTAAATATAACGGCAGCCGGACCAATCGGTGTATTGAATCGTGTTGGTCATTCACAAAACAAATGGAAACGTCAAGTAAAAGAACAGCGTCGTAATATTTTCGATAATCATACCATATTGAATTGAACAGAAAAAATCCATTGTGAATCATTTAATTCTTTATTCAATTAAATCTCATTATTATTATTATTATATCTTATCATTAATAAACAAATTATATTTGAAAAAATTATTTTTATCGATTAATTTGATTTACAAAAAGATTATGTATCTGAATGGAAAAAAAATGAAACATCAAAATTATTTAAAGGGTTCTTTCGGAAATCGAAAAAAAAATTAACATTTAAGTTGGCTTATTATTGATTTTAGCTTTACGATTGGCTAAATTATTAAGATAATGAATAAAATCACCATCTTCAAATTTTCTGCCCAAATCATACAATTCTTCAATGAAATCCAACAAATTGATCATTTTCAAATCGGGCATTTCATAAACAAAACGTAAATAAAGATAGAATGGCAAATATTTAAAATGAATAGTGGCCGGATATTTGCTCGCCCATTGGCAATTGAATGAGTTGTGCCAAAAAAATGAACGTCCACTTAAACGTTCACGTTCAGCATACAATACATTTGAATTTGGAATTTTAAAAATAATATCAGCCACACCTGGATTGTTCAATGTTGAAATACGATCGAGATTCTGGGTCAACTCTTTTGGTAAACGAATAATTGATCCCGTTTGTGGATAAAGAAACAAACAAAAAACATCGGGTACTGATGAAAATTTTGTTGTTATTATTTGTCGTGGTTGCTGGTAACAGATGATGTGGCATAAGCCATCCTCAGTAACAAATACGTAATTACTGGAATAAATTTGAGGATAAACAGCAATTATTTTAGATTCCGAAAAATCAAATTTGATCTTGTGACTAATAAATTTTGATTCATTATTCGATTGATAGATATGAGCTTGTTCACTAATACGATCATGATTTTGTTTCATTTCATTGGAAAGAACAAGAAATTCATCTCGGCCACCAACAATTCTTGTTATGAATGAATCAAAAATGATGAGTTTTGGTGGAAAAAAAATGTTTCGATTAAAAGAACCGAACAGATATATTTCATGAAATTCTTTCATAATTATTGAAGCATTAATAGTGCAAGTGATATCCATGACTCGATCATTTCGAAATGAATCAATTTCGCTAAGTGTTAATTTACCATGACTTTTTATTTTGTGTCCGTTTTGAAAAAATTGATTCGAGCCAGAACTTAACACTTTTCCATCATTAGTTATCGCCAAGGCATGGTATATACCACAAGAAACTTTACGAATATTTCCCGAAACAAAAACTGGTCTATGTTGAAATTCTGTATTACCAATGCCAAGTTGTCCATACTGATTATCGCCAATAGCATAGAGCTGTCCATCTTGGGTTAGAATCAGAGACCAAGTACTCTTATAATTAAAGCAAGGGACAATCGATTTGATAAGCTCATTACTCAATTCATTGATTAATATTGGTGATTGGATATCAGTAAAATCTTCTCGATTTCGATCATGATGACCATAACGGAATATTTTGCCATCATCATCAAAAAGCCAATATTCACCACTAGAATTGCAATAAAATTTATCCAATTTTGACAAAAATGTCTGATCAAGAATCAACAAACGAGACCATAGATTTAAATCGTTAGTTTTTAACCAGGGAAGATTATCATTTTTCTCGTTATTAGGTCTCAAAAAAGATGAGTCATTTTCCACTACAGTGTCATTTGCAGTAGGTTCTTTTAAACATACCAAAATTTCATCAATAACTTCTTCGTCTTTACTTTTGTTATGTTGATCATCCAAAAAATTATTTTGATTTTCACAGGTCGTGATATTTTCGAATGTTATTTCATTTTCACATTCAGAAACTGTTGGTTTTGACTTTTTCGATTTACATTTAGTTTCATCAATGGTTTCAATTTCACGTGGTTTAAAGTCAGAAACATCATTAATTAAATTCGAAGATCGTGGAGAATCACATGTGATAATAGTTTCTGTTTCACAAGGAACACAAAAATTTTCGACAACACCAATGAAATCCAAAAATTGCTGTCGAATTCTGATGCCTTTTTCGATGACCAATGATTCATCTTTGATTTCAGACAAAGTTTCAATTACTTTAATTTCTAATTGTTGAACAAGAGCAAAAAGTTCTTCGAAATCATCGGGTAGAGATCCGGATAAGTCCAACAATGATGATTGTATTTGAACATCGTGAGTATCCTTTTTGATCTGTATAGCAGCAAAATTAGATGATTCGATTTCATCATTTGTTTCAATATTAACACTTGCTGAGGATTCGAAATGTTCGCATAATTTTTGCCACAAATTATTTGATGACGAACAATTTTTTGCCAATGAAATCATCAAGGATTTATCTTCGATAGAAAATAGAATCATTTCGACGATTGCATCATCCAAAGCTTTGTGTTTATCCGAAAGTTGATCATCATCGACAATAGACCATAAATACAAACGATTTAATATGATTTTAGATTCTTTTTTCCATTCATTCCAATTGTCACAAGTTAATGGTGGTAAACGTCGATCCATTTTTGAAAAAATTACAAAAAAAAACCTTTTTTTAACGAAAGAAATCAAATTTAACAAAATTAAACAAAGAACGAAAAGTGAATGTGTGAGAAAAAAAATTTGAGCAGGAAACATTTGAACGGAAAAATTGCAACACTAGTGAATTCCTCATAAAGGACGTATTCGTAAAATGAGAATACATTGCAAAAAAAATGCTTGGAAACAATTCTGCGTGTTTTGAAAAACAAAGACATGCGCGCATCAATAATAATAAAAATCATCCGTTTTTTTTTTGATTACTTCGTTATTTTAATCGAGTTCAAGAGGTTTTTTTCCAATGATAAAATCAGTACATCCTCTTGATACTTGAAACATATCTAATTTAATTAATTTTCTTAGATATTTTTCACTAATATGTACTTAAAATTGTATAAATAAACATAATATATAAATCTGGACGAATGAATAAATTATCTAGTTCTATCGCTCATCAAGTCAATTTCTCATTTGAAACCATAATTATTGCCGAATAAAATTACAAGCATGATGCAACCATTGAGATGTTGGTTATTGTTATCGTTGATAACATTCATCGTGATTGAAACGAAAAAAGCACCCGAAGGTTGCTTTCGTGCCGCCGTTCTTGATCATGTTCATCAAACAAATGTTCGCCAATTATCCGATTTCGCCAAGATAATAGAATTGAATTTCAAAGTCTATGAAGACGCAGCTGCCTTAGCTAAAAAACAAGTATTTTTCTCAAAAAATTGACTAATTAATTTTAAAAATTTTAATTTTGTATTTAGGGTGCCGATATTATCGTTTTTCCCGAAGATGGTCTCATCTATAATATTGCTTCACGTGAAAAAGCTGACGAATTCGCTTCGGATATTCCCGATGGTGAAACAAATGCATGTACACTGGAAACAAAGTCTGTGTATAATCGGTTAGCATGTCTAGCTCAAAAACATGAAATATTCGTTGTAGCAGATTTGATTGATCGAAAATCATGCGAAGAATTAGGCATTAGCAACACATCAGATTCTTGCCCTGCTGATAAAAAATTTTTATTCAATACGGCCGTCTTGTTCGATCGCCAAGGTAAACTCTTGGGACGTTATCACAAAATGCATTTGTTCGGTGAGATGACCATGAATATTCCACCGAAACCAGAATTACTGGTCATCGATACAGAATTAGGACGGCTTGGTATGCAAATATGTTTCGACATGATCTTTAAGACGCCCGGACATTTTCTAGCAGAACAAAACAAATTTGATACCATGCTTTTTCCGACGTGGTGGTTTGATGAAGCCCCAATGTTATCTTCTAGTCAATATCAAATGGCATGGGCCTTTGGTAACAATGTCACATTATTAGCTTCAAACATTCATCGTGTCGAGGTATAAAAATAAGTCTTCTCTGTTTGATTGTTTCTAAATTTTTATTTTTTAGCTGGGCTCACGTGGCAGTGGTATTTATGTTGGACCACATCAAACACTAGCTACAGCATTATACGATGATTCTGTTGAACGTTTAGTTTTGGCAAATGTTCCCATCAAGCCCCGAGAAACGGATAAATCTGTTTGTCCTTTGGATAGCGAAATTATTGAAGTACCTCAACAGATTCCGATTCCAAATTCTGTAAAATACCATCATCTTAACATGAATCTTTTGGATGTAACATTAGTGGAATTATCTTCAAAAGATTCTGAATTTCATATCTGCTATAAAGGTGTTTGTTGCCAGATTGAATACCGTTTAGCTGTGAAAGATCAACCGCGGGAGTCATGGGTGGATCGTGTACCATTATTAGCAAATATGCTTGAATATTTTACTCCCGAAGAACGTTACTATTTAATGGTGGCTAATCGTACGCGACCAGGTACTTATCGTTGGACTGAAGAGATTTGTGCCGTTGTTGTCTGTCCATCATCACGTTGGAACATTGGAAAAGTGGAAAAAGATTGTTCACAATTTGGTTCAAATCAAGAACTTAATTCTCGATTCGTTTACGCAAAACTAAGAGGAGCATTTAGTGAAAGTACTGCCGTATATCCCAGTGCCGTTGGTCCTAAAAATCAGCTCATTAATCCTGAAAATAAATGGAAATATTGGAAAGTAAATGTACCGGATAAACCTGAACATTTCGTTGAATTAGGTGCCAAAGACAATCCGGAAAGTAAAGCTATTGAATTAAGCACATTAGCTTTATATGGTCGAAATTATGATCTTGACCCAACGTACAAACAAAAACCAGTTCCAATCAATTTGTGATGGTTAATTATATTTGCTCGTGATATTTTCATGTGTTGGATTCTAATAATCTACGATAAAATCAATGCTATTTTGAACTAAACAAATTTTTCAAATAATAAATGAAATAAAATTCTGTTATATGTTTTATTTAGGAAAAATTTTTTTAAAAATTATTGTTATATTATATTTACAATAAATACCTTATTACTATAGTATATATATGAATGGTGATGACAAATCTATCATTAAACAAAGCTCAACAATCAATAATTAAATGGAATTCATTGTTTCATTGAAATTAATTTGACCGGATTATGATAAAATAGGAAAGAAATTTTTCATAGAATATTAATTGAACAACCTTGAATCGAGAACTGATTGAATTCGTAGAATTAGTAATCGAATCATTGACCAATGATGGTGATGAGAAATCCATTTCATCCGATGAAAGCATTTTTGTTTGATCATATTTTCTAATCAATGTTTCCGGATGTTCGAATAGTTTCTCATACAGTGTTGGTTCGACTAATTGTTGACAACCGTATCGTGTTGAATGATATGGTTCACATACTGAATCGATGATTCCAAGAAAAGGTCCTTCGATTTGATCCAGAACAAAACTTCTAACTTGATTATTACTAGCACAAGAAACGGTTGATATTGTTCGATCTAAACAATCAGAACGTGCACCAAAAGCACAACATGCAGCTTGAAGTCGTTGTTCGCCATCCAGATTCTGTGCAATGTAAATCAATTGATTCTGAAATGCATTCTGACAGGTGGAAACATTGTGTATTAAATCACTTTCGGAAAGGCAATCCGAATATTCAAGGAATCCTATCAAGTTTAATTATTAATTAATTAGTTATTATGGAAGAAATAATAATTTATCGTTAATATAAATCAAACAAACTTTGTCGTTCAGTATAACGAAGACAAATCTTGTCCAATTGTCGTTGATAGTTGGAGACAAATTTTTTGAAATAACTGCGTTGAAGTTTATCCGGTTCAAGGCAGCCTTCGACAAAATGTCTTAAACATTTGACACTTTCCATTTTATCTCTTTGATTAAACAAACAAAATCATTATTAGTCAACACCAATGAATCATGAACTTAATGGGGATCCGTACTTGCAATATTTGTCCAATTCTTTTCCATTGGTAGGAAAATGATTAATTTCTGAGAAAAATGTCAAACGTCGTAGACAAGTATCGACTGTATGTTGATCAACCGTACATTTATGCGAATCATGAGCCAAAAGCCAGATCACTATTTACAATGATAATAGATCAATGAATTTATATAAGATTCGTTGAAATATTCTGAAAAAAACTTACTGGAAAGCACAAGAATAGTGAACAAAACAGTCATAATGGCATAATGCTTATAGTTGATTTTATGAACAATTCCATGTTGGTCATCATGAAGATCTTTGGCCATCTCGTTGAATGTTCTGGGAAGTGTGTCCATTTTTTCTTTATTTTTATTCAATTTTTGAGGCACAAAAATATTATTATTATTATTATCAAACTGATGATGACTCAAAGGATAATGAAATTGAATAGGATTCGTTGTGAATAACCAGGTATCTTCATTCGTGCTATTATTGTTTGCTTTTACAACAAGTTTTTTCAGTTTCTCTTCAGTTGATGACGATAATGGTGATGGGTTGGTTGCCATCCACCACCAAATCGATTGTTGATTACCGCCAGATTGTGATTGATGCATGATTAAATTTGATGACAAACTACCTATATTGGCTGATGATGATTTGATTGAATAATACGCCGTATATTGAAGAAAAACAATTCAATTGGAAAATTTTTACGTATTTCGTGTGAAAGATACTGACAAACAATTAAGATGAGAATTCAAAGCCAGTGATTGCATGAATGAGAGAAAAATTGAAAATTTCCAAAAAAAAAAAATTCCAAGGTGAATTTAGTCAGATAATTAGATATTTTAACATTGACATTGAAAAAACTTGAATGATTATGTCTATCGATGATGGCAGCCATAACTATTTTAAAAACGATTCGATTGATAATTGAGATAACAAATGAATTCTTATTGTAAAATTTCGAAAATAATAATATCATTTAAAATACATACATTCAATAAAATATCAATTTAGATTTCAATCTGTTTCAAATAGATTTTTTCTTTGTTTCCAATATCGACTCGAATATGAATGATTGTTTTTTTTCCATGCAAAATGTTGAATAATCGAATAACTGGTAGAGAAGAAAAAAAAAGAGAATCAATTTAAATGAAAAAAAATGAATAAAAAAATTCTTTGTTAATTGATCAAAAATGAAAGGAAAAAAGATGGAAATAAACAATAAATAAAAACCCCAATTATGATGTCATTTTCATATCCATCATCCTGGCCAGTGTACGCGATTCAACCAGCAACAAAAAAAAAATTTTTTTTACTTTTCATAATTGAACATAAAAAAAATTCCATTATGCAATGATAAAAATGATTGTCCATTGTCAAAATGAGAATTGATTGAATGTGGAAATTCGTCATTTTTTATTATTATCATCATAAAACAACAAAATATCAAATTAAAGTTGGATCCCAGTAGTGCCATCTAGTGTAGACAAATAAACATTTGAAATTATTTAAATTTTTCATCACACAACAAAATTGGCGGTATTTAATGGCTTAGAAAAATGACAAATGATCTGATCAATCAATAGTTGTAAGTTTTGTTTCGGTCAATTTCATTTTCAAATACAATTCAAATGAAAAACATATATTTGGATAACAAAAGAAATCTCACATATCGTTGAATAAATAGAGAAAAAAAAAAAAAACCGGTTATGATGGCGAAAAAAATCGATCATCATCACCCGTTTTATGATAGATGATGATAGAGAAGCATAAAATGAACATAAAGACAAACGACTATGGTTTTTTTTTTTTTTTTTTTTTTGATAATTTAAATTATGGAATACAAATTTGCCATACATACATATGCAAGAGTTTTTAAACCTAAAAACCTAAAAATAGATCCACCAACAACAATCGAACAACATAAGGAGGGAAAGGAAATGTTCACATGTAGTGACAAATAAATAAAGGATGCCTCGGTATCCAGTTTTTTTGTTGTTGTATTCACTTTCTTGGAATTGTCTTTTTTTTACATTACTTAATGGAATTCAAAAAAAAGTGAGAAATTATAAGTGTGTGTGTGTGAAAGAGAAAGTCAAAGTACGTTTTGGTCATCCGTATCTTTTGTTCGTTTTTGTAACGAACAACAACAACAACAACAACAACAACAACAACTTGAGGATTAACAACAACAACAACAACAACAAAGGTAAAATGATCAAGTCCATAATGTGCAAATGTGAAAAAAAATGTTCCGTTCAATTATTCGTTTTCCTTACGTTTATCTTTGACACAAATTTTCTTTGTTGTTGTTGTCCAAAAATTTTCATTGCATATGGTGTATGTATGTAATAGCTAGGAAAACGAATCGAATCGAATCGAATGTGTGTGTGTGTGTGTTAAAAGTATTTTTCATCATTATCATCACTGTTGGATGGCCTTTATTTGTCCACAGAAAAAAAATGATTGATTGATTGATTTGGTACATATAAACACAATTTCCAAGCCGCACACATCATCATCATCATCATCGTTGTTAATCGTTGTTATAAAAGTGTTCAAAATATCGAATAAATAAGTAGGCGTGTAAATTGGTGTGTCTATTGGAAATGAACAACAATCAAATTTAAAAGTTTAAATGCAAAAAAAAAATAATAATAAATTTTTCATTTCCCTTTACAACAACAACAACAACAACAACAATTGGAGAAGAAGAAAAATCTTGATGACCATTGTGTTCCATCCAGGACAAATTTTCTTTGTTTCCAGCAGTGTTTTTTTTCTCTTTACAGTGCATCGAATACACACACACACACACACACCACATATACAAAGTGGACACTTGGGGCTTTTATAATGTGCAAAAAAAAAAATAAAAAAAAATATTGTTTGCATGTCCTTTTCATCTCCTCGTATTTCGTGCACAGTATTCTATCATCATTTGACTTTTCATCATATAACATGAAAAACTAAGAAAATTCATCAAACCAATGTCAAACGAATGACAACAAAAAAATATCTATTTTGTATGTTCGAATTTGAATTTGTTCGTGTTCATTGGGTTCATATCAGTTATCGATAAGAAGAAATAACTTCCCATTTTTATTTGCGTACATATCCGCTAATCTGGTCAGAATTTCTGCGTAAAAAAATTGTGTAATCACAAATTTAAATTTTTTTTTTTGTTAAATGTGTGCGTGTGTGTGTGTGGGTGAGATAAAAAAAAATTTTCGTGACCTCTTTGTGCATATCCTGTACTTTCATCATCATCATCATCATCTATAAAAAGTTTTACAAATTGAAATTTACATTTAACAATCAATAATTTGGACTAATTCAAAATCTTTTTTTTTTTTGAAATTGAAAATAAATTTCAATTTTTCAACTATTCCACTATCATCGTCACATAAAGACAAGCAAAAAATTATTAAGGAAAAAAAAATCGCTCGCAGTGCAATTATCACTAAAATGGCCTTATCTTTAGTAGAATTTTTGGTAGTTATTGTAGTCAATATTGTCAAATCTGTGGTTTATGTTTATACATTTTTCACCATACCAATCTATTATCTACTTGAAAAACCATGGAAAACATTGAAAATGGCCGGAATGTGTGGCGCAAATTTTATCAAACGTGGACGATTCATACGACAAAATGGCATACCAGAATCATTGTCAAATGCTGAATATTTAGAATTCGAACATGATGTACCAATACCGCATCATCCATTGATGAAATGTAATACAATAACTGAAGCTATATATGCAAGATCAGAATTATATCCAAATGATCTACCATCGATTGGTTATCGACAAATATTGGAAGAAGAAATTCAACATGATCAATCGGGTAATCCAATCAAAATTGATGGAAAAGTTTTACGAAAATATAAATTAAGTAATTACAAATGGGTAACATATGGTGATTTTCTGGAACAAGTTGAAGCCATTAATCGTGGATTGTATGCCGTTGGTTTCAAAAAACATGATCCTATTGCCATTTATTCGGAAACTGGATTCGATTTTATGATATCAATGATTGCTAGTGGAAAAGCCGGTGCTTTAATTGTAACGGTATTCCATACACTTACTGATCAAGGATTAATTCATGCTCTCAATCAAACAAAAGTTAAAATTATATTTGTTAGTTTTGAATTGGTGGATCGTGTTCATGGTTTCGTGAAGAATTGTCCACATCTTAAAACGATCATCTATTATGAAGGTAAGTTTTGCAGTTCAATTCATACATTGTTAGTAGTCCATTTCAATCTGTAAATTTAATAATAATAAAAAATAGGACCTAAAAAGCAAAAAATTCCAACATTCGATTCCAATATTAAAGTTTATACATTGAATGAGATCAAAAATCTGGGCCGTTTGGACAAATATCGACATATTGAATCAAAATGTTTAGAACCAGACGATTTATTTGGTGTCATGTTCACTTCTGGAACTACAGGCATTCCTAAAGGAGTCAAAATCACGCAACGTCAAATGAAAGAAGCTGCAATGACCATTGGAAAAGTTGTACGCGATGTTATTATGACCGGACCGAGCCACACTTATATAGCTTATTTACCACAAGCTCATGTATTGGAATTTTCCATCGAATTATTCTTATTCCTGGGTGGTGTCAAAGTTGGTTATGCAACACCATTTACATTGAATGAATCAGCACCAGGTTTAGCTAAAGGTCAAATCTGTGATCTTCAATTATTAAAACCAACTGTGATGATCAGTGTTCCGTTAGTTTTGGATCGAATGCAAAAAGAGATCTATAATAAATTACAAAAACGAACTCCATTCTCGAAAGCAATTTTTGACTATCTTATCGATTATAAAGCACATTGGATTAGCAAAGGTATGATTTTGAATGAATTTCTCCAAAGATTTGAAGTTATCAATTTTTTTTTCTTATTACAGGTTATTCTACCCCTATAGTAAATAGGCTACTCTGTTCAAAAGTACAAGAACAATTTGGCGGTAATCTACAATATATGGTGGTTGGTGGAGCACCTTTAGCATATGATCTACAAAAACGAATCAAATGTGCTTTGAATGTAACATTGATTCAAGGTTATGGATCAACAGAAACATCGGGTGGTGTATTCTCTATGGATTTCAAAGATCTTTCCTATGGACGAATTGGATCACCATTGAATGGTGTACGAGTACGTGTAGTGAATTGGTATGAAGGCAATTATTTTATTGATGACAAGCCAAATCCTCGTGGTGAATTGATCATCGGTGGTAAAATGATATCTTCCGGTTATCTTGATCTGGAAGAGGCTACTCGAGATGCATTTTTCGATTCAGATGGTTTTCATTGGTTCATTACTGGCGATATTGCAGAAATTCATTCAGATGGTACATTCTCTATAATTGATCGTAAAAAAGATATAGTAAAATTGGCTAATGGAGAATTTATTTCATTAGGAAAGGTTTGTATTATATCATTTTCATTTGGGAAAATTTGAAAATTTTCTTATATTTTTTCCAAAATTCAGATTGAAGCCATATTAAAAAGTAGCTGTTATGTGGATAATATTTGTATCGTTCCAAATGCAACATTAAATTGTTTGGCCGCATTGGTTGTGCCGAATTTTATGTCTATAAAAACCTTGGAAAAACAACAATTCGAATCATCAAATGGACTCATTTCAAATGCAAACAATATTCAACATGATCATCCAGAAATTATAAAAATTTTACATGAAGATATTATTGCTGTCGGTATTCGACAACGTTTGAAATCTATTGAATTACCATCAATAATTTCTTTGTGCAATGAAATTTGGGCACCCGATAATGATCTATTGACAGCAGCTATGAAATTAAAACGAGCTAATATTATCAAACATTATAATAATGATCTACAACGAATGTGGTCAACATTACAAACTAATCCGGAAAAAATTCGTGTCCAAGTAAAAAAATAATTTTTCTTTTACACTTGAATTTGTTGTGAAAATTTAATTCAATTCAATTTTAAAAAATGACATTTTAAATTTTACAGAAAAAGAAAAATTTTTTCATGACAATCATTTATTAACAATGATTCAATGATGTATATTCAATAAATTAGTTGACTTAATAATAAAACTTTTCACCTTTTTCTTGAATATTTTGGTGTAAAAAAAAAATTCTGTCTTTCCCCATCATAATCATCTTCATTAGCAATATCGTTTGTCCTTGAGATATAAAACATCAATATCGATTCATCATATTCAAAATGTATATCGATTGCAATCGTTCTGAATTTTTTTTTTTGCCAAATCATTTTATGGCCAAAAAAAAACATATATTGACGATGAAGTTATGATAGAATTTACATATGACAAAAGTTGGTACACACATTCATGTGAGAGATGTTGATTTTCCAAGGTATTCTCATCATCATCATCATCATCCTCATAATTAATGGAAATGTCTATCGATCGATCGATCGAAGAGAGTGAGAGATTTTTTTTTCACACAAATTTCCAATGTAAACTTTTGGTCAAAGTTGTTCAATTTATGTTTTTTTTTTGTTTTCTTGAAAATACGGCATGACATAACTACGCGCTATACGGTGGTTGTGTGCAGATGTGTTTGCTGAAACGAAACAATTTTCATTTTTTTTACTATTCTCGTTCTCTCATTCTCTCTCTCTCTCTCTCACACTCTTATTTGAATGTACTTTTCAATATCTGATGAAGAAATGAAATGAAACGAAAACGCGAAAATCTGGCCCCAATGACGAACTGATCGTTATTGTTTGAACACATATAGATTTTACGTAAATAATATTTTTTTTGTTTATATGTTTGTTGTTTCATTCATGAGCATCTACTTTTTTCATTTGTGTCATTTTTTTTATTCGTCGTTGTCAACGTGGTCAACCGATGAGTATATGACAAACAAAATTAAGATTGTCACGTCTAATCTAAATATCTGGTCATCATTTCAATCGAAATTTTGTTTAAATATCATCAATTAGTTATTTTTTTACAAAAAAAAATCAACAATAATGGACAAAAATCAAAACAACAACGATAATGACGATTCTTCACAGAAAAATTATTCCGATACAATTGTAAATGTTCGTAATAAATTTTTGAATCACTATCGAAATGATCCAAAATTATTTCATGAAAAAGATATCAATATGATCATGATGAATGATTGGTGGACATTGCGTTTCATAAAATGGAATCGTGATAATGAAGATAAAGCTCTTAAACAAATGATCGATGCTTTTAAATGGCGAAAAATTTTTGGTATCAATGATCGTGATGCTAAAGATTTGCCTATTGAATTTGCTAAATCAGCCGCATTGTTTCCATTGGGTACCGATTACAAAGGTCGTAATGTTATCTATATACGTGTCAAAGTATATAGAAGAATTCAAGTATTAAATAATTTTTTTAAACAATTTGTTGCCGGTGTCATCGATTATGTTGATCAAAAAAGTGGTCCAAATGGTTTTGTTTTTATGTTTGATGCAGTCGGAATGAGTTGGTGGAATCTAGATCTGGAATTTCTACAATTTATGATTCAACTAGTACAATCATATTATCCATATGGTTTACGATATACTTTATGTCATAATGTACCAGGTAAATTACGTCCAATGTGGTCGATTGCTAAAGTTTTTCTTGGAAGTACCGAAAGAACTATACGATTTTGTGATGGTCAAGAAATTCTAAAATATATTCCAGCCGAAAATCTACCACGTTATCTTGGTGGTGAATGTGATTTAGATTTCACTGATCTAGAAGTAACAAGACAATGTCCATCGATCAAAGAATTGGGTCCTAAACATGGTTTCACTGAAAAAGAGATGGAAAAATATTATAAAATATTTGAACCAAATCTTGAAGAAGCAGAAAAATTGGCCAAATATGGTGTTCGATAGTGATTTTTTAAAGAAAAAAATTTTTTATTAAAAATTTAAAAACAAGTTTTTTTTAATAAATTCAATATTATGACATTATATTATCTATATGGTATTTTGATTGATTATTAATGAAAATTAATCCGATCAATATATATTGTGATTCAGAAACAACAAACAAAGAGAGAGAGAGAGAGATTGCATGGAGAGAGAGAGAGAGAGAGAGAGAGAGAAGAATAATGTTGAATACGAGTGATTCAGTAGTCATGATCTCATCAATAAAATTGAAAAATCTTGACAGCCAATTTTTTTTTCACTGAATAATATTATTACTTATTATTAGAATGGAAATCAAAAGCAGAAAAATTCATTTTGTGTTTCATTAAATTAAAACCGGAGACAAGGTCATGTGTCATCATTGTCATCATCATCATCAGATCATTGTTTTGGCTATATGTGTGTGTGTGTGTGTGTGTGTGTGTTGGTCAATATTTTTGGGTCAAGGTAATTTATTTCTTTTGTTTTATTAATATTACTACTTTTTTCACATATAAATACACATTTCACAGCTCTGTCTCTCTCTCTCTCCACACACACACACATCATACATATAACCTTACGATATATGACATCGATCAATCCGTTTGGATCGATAAAAAACAATGATATAATAAATATAGAAGAAACAAAAAAACATTTTTTTTCCATAGACCAAATAAAAACTTTCAATTTTATGTTTGCGATGTTGTCTGTCTGTGTGTGTGTCATATTAATTTCAACGATTATTATTATTATTATTGCTGTTATTAGTGTTGTAAATATTTTGACAATTTTCCGTTGTGAAATAATATCGTATCGATTTACCATTATTGGCCATTGATGATGATGATGATGATGTTTGTTGACCTATATTCGTTGATGTTGTAATTGTTGTTGGTGATGTATCCACATTCACAGGGATATTATTGTTTGATGTTTGATATTGTCTATGGTAATGATGATGATGATGATTATGGTATTGATAATGAGGATGTTGTGATTCATTTATTGATGTTGATGGTGATGTGGTTTCTGTTGTCGCTGTTGTTGTTGTTGGTGTTATCGGTGTTGGACATACATCACCAATACCAGTAGCCGTTATTGATGATGATGATGATGATGATGAAGGTGCTGCCATTACCTGAATAGAATTGGCATGAAAATTCATTGAAAAACAAATTAAACTATCTTGTCTTGTTTGATATTGCTGGGTATAATGATGATTATGATTATTATTATTCCTATACTGTTGATGTTGCTGTTGTTCAGTCGTACAAGATGTACTGGCATAGCCATCAACTTCTGGATAAATTATATTCGTTTGATATGGATTTTGATGATAATGTTGATGGTGATGATGATGATGATAATGGTTGTTGTCACTGCAGCCATTATTCGAACAAAAACTTGAACCTGTGCCAGATGATGTATTACCATCGCTAAATGTTTCAATAAATTGATCCGAATTTGGTTGTTGTTGTTGTTGTTGGCTAGCTAGATTACTTGCCAATGATGTTGTATGGTGAATCAATTCTAAATAATTAAATAATATGTGATAAGAACAGCTCTGAAAATGTTAATATTCGATTATTTCTACTAACCCATAGGATCATAACAATGATTTTGTGGCCACGATGGTTTAGAATTCATTGCTGCATTTGCATAAAACCATTTAACACAATGATCAAAATAAATGTCCTTGATTTTATAAATACAAAAATCATCGAATAGTCCACCAAAAGTTATGAATAAATCTATATAATACATGTATGTATATAAATTGAATTAAAATTGTTTCGAAATTCATAAAACAAAAATATGAAATTAAACAAACCATGACTTGAAGCTTTTATTTTGATCATTTCTTGTATAATCTGCCATTTAACAAATGTCCAAATGATTAGAAAATGGCGAGCAAAATCAGTGTCGAAAAAAGTTGTTGCTGAATGCTCTTCCTGGGCTTGTTGTTGTCGATGTTGAAAATAGATTCTCATCGATCCGTTCCATGTAGTTTCAAACCAATCCAATAATTGAGTACAATCAACCATATTGGCAACCAATAATTTAAATTCAGAAAAATCTAAATCCATTTTTATTTAATCGATTAAAATATTGTATATGAATAAATTTGGCCGAAAAACACACAATCATCTTATCTTACATTTATATAATAATTTATGTAATTTTTCATACACATTTGTTGGATAAATTGTTGTTGTTCCGCTCAAATAATTGATCGTTCCGGTTTTATAATAAATTTCAATAATTTTATCACAAAGATTATTCAAATCGATTCGCATCCAATCTTGATGTAATTGTTTAAGTAGATTTCCTACTACGCTATTATGGCAATTATTGAATAATTGATTCTGTAACGTATGAAATAGACGACAATGTCTTAATAGACATTTGATCAATACGATAAAATGTCTGGCCAATTCTAATTTAATCTGAATCAATAGAACATTTTCACGTGGTAAAGCAGCCTGTAAAACGGAATCATATGCAGCAGCAAAATGTTCTAATTGACCATAAGCTCTATATGATTATTTACCATTTACAATACAATTCAATATTCAAAAACAATTATTCAATTTTATTTTTTTATCGATTTTCAAAAAAAAAAAAAAAATTACTTACATTTGTGAAAGTGGTTGTACAAATGTCATTGAAACAATTTTAATTATTGTTCTATATAGACGAATATCGCATATGGCCAATAGATTGATAAATAAATGGCTATTCATTACAGGTGTAAGATGTGTAGGTATTTGTTGCCAAAAATGATATACAAGTGTATGTACTTCATCAAAATTGGCACGTACAATTGCATCCAATATACGTTGACAATGTGCACGATACATAAGTAAAAATGTCGGTATCTATGAAATATAAGAAATTTTATTCATATTTATCCAATTCATTCATTCATTCATTCATTTATTTATTTATTATTAATGATGATAATTATAATATAATTTAACGTAACATGCTGGTACAAAAACAAAGCATCCAACAAATCATCACACAATTGACTGAATCAAACATTTTCTTTATTAGATAAAAATTATAGATACGAAAACGTTGTTTCCATTGATACCAATATGAATTATGACCATTATGAAATTTCTTTTTAAAATCAAAATTTTTTCTCCGTTTACATTTATCATTATTCATTTCATAATGAATTAATGATTTTAATTCAGATTTAGTAAATGAATTTGATTTACGAAATGCAACATTAATACCAGTTAATCGTGATAATATTTCACATTCACATTGTTCATCAATGGCTAATAAATTTTGTAAATCAACATCATTTATTTGTTCATTTGAATGTTGTTGTCTTTGCTGTTGTTGTTGTTGTTGTTGTTGTTTTACCGGAAACTCAAATATACTTGACCCATTATCATGATCGAGAAATGCAATTGTCTTTCTAAATTCACATGAATTTACTATTGTCATCATTTTATCCAATGTTTTTTCATCCATTGTATCTATACGAAAATTCTTTGAAATACCAACAAACTTATCTATTTTAAATTGTTCATCGAAAATTTGTCGAAACAATTCTATATCCTCATTATTGTCGACTTCAGCACAAGTAGTATCATCATCATCATTATTGACAATCATTATGGTATGCAAACATTCAGAAATGATTTGTTATGCAAGTTTTATGTATGTTGAAAAACATTTCAAGATTCTAGAACTCGATGAAAGAAAGAAAAAAAAAATCCAACAAACATATATATACACTTACCAAATTGTTGTGATAATTATGGCATAATTGTAATTCTTCATTTGTAGGAAATGGTGGTAATACGGGCATCAAATTAGCCGTATTAGTTGAATGATAATAATAATTATTATTATTATTATTCGATTGAAGATTATTTGGTTGACTATTCGGTTGACCATTTTCTGGTTCTTCTTCAATTATTTCTTCTTCTTCAATAACCGATGATGATGATGATGATGATGGACGACGATGACGAGGAGGGGAAGAAGTAGAGTATTGAAATTGACCATTATGGTGTTGATGATTAATCGTATCATCATTTAACAATCGAACGGATTGTGGACGAATTTTATTTTCTTTATTATAGTTGACATTTAAATCAATCTGTGAATATTTGGAAGGAAAACAGAAACCATTACCAGTATAATTAATATGTAAAAAAAACAAAATTTCTAGAAAAAAAAAACAAAACAAAACATAAGAAACGAGCAAACAATTTTCTTTTTTTTTTCATTCATAATGCTTAGCCACAAACAACAACAAAATGAAGAATCCGCAAACCGTAAAAGAATTTTTGTTTTTTAATAATTCTATGATTGTGTGTGTGTTTGTGGAATGTGTGTGAGTTCAACACACTTAACAATTCAGATTCATTTATTCGGCGATGAATTTTTGTTTTTGTTTTTCTCTATATCAAGCAAAAGTTTTTGGGTCGCGTGGCCACAAAAATTTTTTCCCTCTTCACTTTTTTTCATTATTTATAATAGCATTGTATCTATCAATTCGAGCGGTAATAACGATTGATTAAAAAAATATATCCAAAGAATTCTCACCATTTTACCGTTTGATTGTTGTTGTTGTTGTTGTTGTTGATGTTGATTCGAACCAATAATGATGTTGGATTGATGATGGTTTTCTGAATTGGTGATCAAAATCGATGATGATGATGATGATGATGTAGGATTCATTGTTTGAGATTGATTACCATCAGATGTGTTAAAATATTGATTTTGATGTTGTTGTTGTTGTTGTTGTGATCTTGTCATCAATGTTGATGTTGATGATATATTATCCATATATGATGTACGTGATGATATTCTTTTCATTATTGATTTATTATTATTATTATTATTACCATTACCATTATTATATTTTCGACCATTTTCAGAACTTTTTACGTATATAAAAAAAAAAATAAATATCAAAAGGGTTAAATGTGAGACAAACAAAAAAAAAACACTAATTTTTGATCAAATAACACAATATGCACGTGTTCACACACACACACACACACACACACACAACTCACAAATACTTTAATCCGATTATAACTACCAATGAAATGCAATAATCGGATCAGAATCGGTAAATTGAGTTATTAAATTAGTCAATTAAATTTATTTATTATTGCTTGACACACACACACACACACATAGATATATTATAATCTTATTTTGATTAGATTTTTTTTTGTCATTTCATTCCATTCTTCATACTATTTTTTTTTTTAATCTGATTATTATTATGATTAGTAATGGCAATTAGTCACATGAAAAAAATAAACATAGATTACCATTGTAATTGTACAGATTTTTTCGAATATGATAGTTGATAATATGGTGAATTTTCTTTGATAGCGATTCCATAGTAATGATATCTGTAATATATATATATATTCCATACGTATATTTAGGAATTTATTTATAATGGATTTTGAAACAAAACAAAACAAAACAATAAAAACAAACCTGGACTGTCCTCTGGTGCCCAATCTTCTAGTGGTCAATTGTGGAAATTGTTGTCGAATTATTTTACCAAAACTGGCTGCATTTACCGGTTGAACACGATTGATTTGACAGAAATCAATATAATGTAAATATAAAACTGATCTAGGTATACAAACACCTTCGGCTAATTCGTAATTATTTTCAAGCCACATTAATGTTGCTGGAGTTGAATGTGGCCGTAAGGTAATCGGTTTTTGTACATTATTACCATTACATGGTAGAATGTTTTTAACTGTTTCAATTTTTTCAAAATTTCTTTACCATTTGTCACTGAATGTTGCTTGGGCACTTCGTCGGTAGCCGAACTATAATTACTTTCAAGAGTAATCAAATGTTTTTGATTTTGTTCTTGGGTATTTTGAAACGATGTTGCTGGATCAAATGAAGACGATTCATTAGTAAAATTTCTTACATCACTATCTGAAACAGATGGATAGTGATTGTATTCTGGTTTAATATTACTTGATCCATGTTGATCATGATTATGATTAGGTTGATGTTGATATTGATGATGATGATATGAACTACCATTCTCATCAAGCATTAGATATGATGATGGCCAATTATCGACCAATGATTGCTGATTATTGGCCTGTGAATTTTGTTCAAAATGATTTTCCAAATGTGGATAATCTAGATTAGAAAATGAAATTGTTAAAATTACAGATTAATTTTTGTGAAAATAAATTATAATTTTTCACATCATTCGATGAATTACTTGATGTCGACGATGAAGACGATGATGATGATGATGATGATGATGATGATTGTTTAAAATTATCATCCATATTCGTTTCTTCTTGATCAGACATATTTATTGATTTTTTTCAAATATTTTATCCGATATGATCATCACCATTTACTAAATGATGATGATTTGCATCAAATGATAACAACAAAAAATTGTCACTATCATCCATGATTGGCAAGCTCGATTATATTTTTGTATTATATTCACATTATTCTCACTATCTAATCCAATCCAATGATATACGGCCCAATCTGTTTGAAAATGAACCAATCAAGAATGTTCATACTATATATATTCTAAATGGGCGGCCATCCTATGGCGGGTAATTCAAAGCTATCCATGACAAAAAAATGGGAGGATCTTATCTATGTGTGTGTGTTCAAATGGTACGGTTACGGTTACGGTTACTGGTACGGGTACCAGTACAATACAATCGGTATTCGAATAGGAAAATAAACTTTAAAAAAAATACCCGAGCAATCGTATAAACATAACAAATCGAATCGATAAAATTTAATATCGATCAATAGAAAGAATCAATTGTTTCAAATTAAAATCTGATTTATCTAATTTCGATTCTTATGATTGATCTATGTATGAGATGGTATTCTTTCTTCTCTTCTTTTTTTGTTTTCAAATTCTTTTAGAATAATCAAAGATTCCATTCAATGGTATGCAAATAATATCATTCAATTCTTTTATTATTTTAATATCAATCAAAAAAAAAAAAACGGAAACAACTCTTTACAACATGCATTACTTGCTCAATTCTGTGTGTGTGTGTGTGTGTGTGTGTTGTGTTGCTTGTCTTTTATTTTTCTAGGTACAAACATTAGATTTGAGATGGGAAAAAATTTTTTGGTTGCCATCGAGTCATGCATGTGTGTGTGTGTGTGTTAATACAATTCCTGATAAATGAATACAATTCTCCTAATTGAATTGAAATCTTGCATAGAGACAAGAAGAAGAAGAAGTGAAAGAAGAGAAAAAATTTGAAATTTACTTCAATGAATGCAAAAGAATTTCTATTATATAAAATAATATAAAAGAAAAATTCCACACTGGACACTTGCACGATGGAGATGAAATTTTAGAATAAACGGGTTATTATTATTATTTCTGGTCAATTTCTGGTGATTGTGTGCACAAGTGCATGTTATTTTTTTTTTGTATTTATGGATGGATGCTAGCCAACCAAATTGAACAAAGAGAAATATGAATAAAGAATTCAACGACCATCATATATTGCAAAATATACTCATCACATAGTCAGAGGAAAATTTGAAACTCTTTTCATCCATCCATTATTATTATATTTTTGATGATGATTCTATGAACAAATGAAAATGAAAATGAAATGCTTCAATATAATGTGTTTGATGGTAGTAGTTTTTATTTTTTTTTTTGGTTTTTAATTATAATTTCAAAAGATATCCGATATTTTCCATACAATGATATGAAATTGATGGACAAATTTAACTTTTGTTCATCTGTGATATTTTAGATAGTTCTAATTGTTTTGTTTCGTTTTCATAATTTTGATTGCACATACCATATATCTGTATATGTTACGGTACAATATATTGTCATTGTTGTTGTTGTTGAAAGTTTATTATTCAAACAAAATGAGATTTATTTGTCTCTTCATTTCAATTGTAATAATGGCAATACAATGAATACAATACAATACAAGTATTTAAATATTACACAGAGCTGGAATCGGTAATTTTTTTTTTGGTACAGAAACAATTTGAGTACTGGCAAACAACAATAATACACGACCTTTGACATTGTAATTGTGATTGAATATTTATACGAAACACGATCGAATGAATGAATAAATGAATGTTGGAAGATGATGATGATCCATTGTGAATATAAAGCATATATATAAGCTACGCGTTTTTTTCTTTGTAATACGGTAGCTGTTTGCCAAAAGCGTGTACATGCCTTGCCACGTGTAGGATATGGAGAGGATTTTTCATCATCATCATCATCATCATCTTTGATGATTACAATAATGACAATCTGATTATCACATTATCGGTAATAAATTCTTCGCTCTCTTTTTTTTTTGATTGATTGATAAACGATTTATATATTCAATATATATATATCACGCGTATAGACATTGTCTATTGAAAAAAAAAAAATAAATATATTGACACGTGTAATATATTTGCCACTCGAATAAATAACATACATTTTAATTAAAAAAAAAAAAAATTCGAACCAGATCACTCCCATTTTATTTTTATTGTTCATTGAGGTTGAAAAATTTATTTCACAATTTGATTTTTTCTTTTTTTTTTTTGAAAAAAAACATCGATGCCAAATATATTGGCCAAAGCTGGAAATTTTTGAAAACAAATGGTAAACAGTCATGTTCATGAACCTAATTGTTTCACATTTATTTTTATTGTCTGATCAATTTTTATTTTTATTTAGAAAATTTCAATTGAAAATGATGATTTTTTTTTCTTTCTTTCTTTCTTTCTCTGTTTCCGAGGGTTCATCATATCAATAATAAATTGTCCGTATTGTCGATTATGAATTGAATTGTTCAAAATGAATACACAATGACAATCTGTATATATATATATAACGTATATATTGTATTAATTCAAAAAAAAAAAAAAAAAATGAAATGAAATGAATTGTTACCAATGGAAACCAATGTTTGGGTATCCAAAACACAAAACAACAACAACAACAACAATAAAAGTTCATTTCATTTGATTCCATATTGTTGTTTTGTTTAATAATAATGATAATTTTTCTTTTGAAAAATTTAATAAATGTAAATATGATTATATCAATGAATAATAACTATATTGATAATAATAATAATTTTGATCATAATTTCGATCATCAGAATGCCTATGTTAAATTGTGAATTTATTATCAATCTAAGTGAACCAATTAAACCGGATAAAGTTAATATTGGTTATTTTGATGGTATACATCCAAGTATTGTTGCTGTAACTAGATCAGATAAAGTATTTTTTCCATATCTTAATTATTATTAGCCATGATTAAATTGAATCAATGCATTCATTTTTTACAGATATTTGTCCATAATCCACATAATCGTTCATTAAACGATCCATACGATACACAACAGCAACAATCAAAACTGAATCGTGATCATCCAACTAATGATGGAAGTCGATTGGCTCAACACACTTCTTCCATTATCGCTTCTGATCTTAATTTTCTTAACATTAATCAGACAATTACTTGTCTTGCTGCTGGTTCGATTTCGTCGTTATCGTTGAAAGATACGGTAAACGATACGGATTTGGCTACTCATACTAACAGTTCTGTCATAGTGAATACATCGAATAAAAAAACATCGATTAATAGTGCTGGTAGTGGTCGTAAAATTTCTCTAAAGACTAAAAATCTACAAAAACAAGCCAACAATAAGAATAATGATATTCTTATTGTCGGAACAAAAACATCAATCCATGCATATGATATTTTACATAACACGGATCTTTACTATAAGGAAGTTGGTTTAATTTCCATTTCATTTATTCAGAATATATTGGTGGAAATAATATTCTATTTGATTTATTAGATACCTGATGGAGCCAATACATTGGTGATTGGTGAATTTGGACAAATATTAAATGGATCAAAATTAGCATTGATCGGCGGTAATTGTGCTATCCATGGATTTGATCGTGAAGGACATGATACATATTGGATGGTTACCGGTGATAATATAACGGCAATGGCATTGGTTGATATTGATAGTGATCAACAAAATGAAGTAAGAAATAAAAAATTTTTTTAATTTAATCAAAAACAGTGTTGCCATCTGATGGATATTTTTCATAGCTTGTAGTAGGATCTCAAGATTGTGAAATTCAAGTATTCAAAAAAGATGCTATTATTTGTGAGATGAGCGAAACTGATTGTGTTACGCATTTATGTCCACTTGGACCAACATTATTTGCTTATGCTTTAGCCAACGGTACTGTTGGTGTCTATCAGAATAAGGAAAGAGTTTGGCGAATTAAATCAAAAAATCAAGCCATGACATTGTTTGGTGCTGATATCAATAATAATGGCCAAATGGAACTACTCACTGGTTGGTCAAATGGAAAATTAGACATTCGAATCGCTATGACTGGAGAGGTTTTATATCGTGAAAATTATAAATGTTCAATAGCTGGTATTATGATTGCCGATTATAATATGGATGGAAAAGATGAATTAATTGTATGTACTGTTTCTGGTGATGTTTATGGTTATCGAATGGAAAATCAAGAAGAAAGACATCAACAGGTTAATTTTAATATCGAACAAGATACAATAAGAGATTTGATGAAAAGAAAACAAACATTAATGCAAGAACTTCGTAATTATGAAGAGAATGCCCGTATACAAAATTTAGCCGATCCATTAGTGATGAATAAAGGAAAAGTTTTAACAGAAAAAGGTGATCATTTTGGCGCCATACCGGCCAGCACAAAATTACGATCATCATTAATTCTTCAATCATGTGATGATTCTCTTCCAGTTAGTAGTATCTGTTATGAATAAAATAAAATATTGATAAAATTTTAAAATTTTCTGATATCTTTTTTTTAGGATTTTATTGAATTACGTTTGGAAACAACTAATAATACTCGTATACGAGCGGCAATAATATTTGCGGAAGGAATATTTAAACATGAATCGATTGTCATTTATCCACCAGAATCAGAAGTTAGCAATATGATTGGTGTGCCATTAAGGCCCCCAAAAGATGTACCAGTCGATATGCATGTAAAGGCATTGGTTGGTTTTCGTTCGAGTACTCATTATCATGTATTCGAACTTTCAAGACGATTACCACGATTCTCAATGTATAGTTTCATTCGTATAATCTACATCGGTCATGATGAAACTGATCAATTGAAATTGACCATGCCAAGCAACAACAACATAACGGTAGACGATAATCGTTCCAAAATAAAACAACGAAACGACAAAATTCCAAAAGATTCAAAACCTTTTTGGCGAAAAAATTTTAGTGATAATTTACAAATCAAAGGCTTAGATGATGAAAGTCCATTGTTTGAAGATGATGATAATCTTAAAAAATATTACAATCAAATTGACGATATCGAAAATCACCATTATATGATGAATGAAGACGCCAACTTTGATAGTATGGCCATTAATGCAGGATACAATGAAAGTGTTGATGTGATGTCAATGAATCAAAATACGTTTCAACAATCCTCAATCGCAACCAATATTGAAGTTCGACAACCTTCAAGCTATGTGGCTATTCGTATAAATGAACAAATAGGAAATCTAGTATGTCCGTTGTCGTCAATGAGATAATAATTAATTTTATCGATGTATCTTTTTTTTGTTCTTTGCTATTATATACCAATTTTAGGTTGAATGGATCACAGCCAATTTCCTGCTTGATTTACAATCAGAAAATAATGAAGAAGAACGACGTTTCGAGTTTATTTCACTACGCGATCAAAGTGGTTTGATTATTGAATTAACTAGAATCAGTTCGCAGAATAAATCACAATCGAAAGATGGAATAATGGACAAAAAATTGATGAAACTTATGGCGAAGAATATTATCATTCAGATATAATGGATCCATCAACGGAAACATCTGATTCACCAGATTTATTATTTAAATCATTGATAACTATTTATTCGGAATCAATTGAGGTGGCCGGAAATTGCATACAATCATTGGGTGATCATTTTAAAATCATTAATCTTCCTTGTTATCGGGCCAGTTTTCTGGATGAAATAAATAAACTTAGACAATTAGTAGACCGTGTTGAAGAGATTCAAAACGTACGACAACATTTAGTAGTGGAAGTGGCTGACAATGCCAATATGATTCGTTCAGCCGTTGTACAGGCAGAAGATGCAAGACTAACAGAACAATAGTAAGTTTTAAATAGATCAAATGAAATGAATTTTATTTTCATGTTTTTAATACTTTCACAGTCATCAAATGAAACAAATCTACAATGATTTAGGAATGATGAATAAAGATATAATGCGTGAATACCAGATTCGTTGCCAGAATCATCAAGATTTAGTCGATAGCCTCAAACAGATTAATATCATTATACAAAGAGCATCAAATCTTCGAAGTAAGATATTTGAAAATTTGATGATTTATTTTTAATATAATTATTTTAATTTCTTTTTCATAGTCGGATCTTATAAAACGGCATTCATTAATTCTTGCCGTGAATCTATTAAACAGAAAAATTTCTCACAATTATTCAAGATAATAAATGAGGATTAGAATTCATCATGCAATTAAATGATGATGGTGTTGATGATGATGATGATGATGATGATGATGATTGAATAGAATTTTCATTACCCATTGACCAAACATATTCATTCGATTTTAGTGAACAACAACCATAGTTGGCGAAAATTTGCTGCACTCTTGATGATGGTTGACTCAACATACGAACACTGGAAACATTCATCTGTATGGACAAATGATTTAAACTTTGTTGACCTAAACCATATGCCAATATTTGTCCCATCATTAGATTATCAATTGATGATGATGATGATTGACCATCATTTTGTGACTGATTATGACAATGTAGTATTTCAGTTAATAGAATTAAATAATTTCTTGCCAAACGTAATGTTTCAATTTTGGATAATTTTTGTATTTTTTGATTGCAAACATTTTGATTCATTTGAAGATGTTTCAATGGTATACAATCGCGAAGTTGATCCAATGCACGATTTAAGCCATGCATACGATTACGTTCACGAGCATTAGCTTTACATCGTTTAGGATTTTTACTATTGGATGTTTTTGTTTTACTCATTTTTTTTCACTCAAATGAATGATACACTTTCAAATGAATTTTTATTGGAATAAATAACAAATTCTTGATCCATAATAAATCAAACTACATTGCAAATTGATTCTTTAGTTTCATAACTATGGCAATCGTGATAAGCCCAAATAATCGATTATTGGATCATTTTTTTTTTTGGAATGAACAAATATTGACAAATGCAAACGAGATTTTGCATAGAACTTTTGCATACTAGATCCTTGTTTAATGGGATCCAGATGAATATGGATCACATATCAACATCAAAACAACAAAAAAAATAAAATAAAATAAAATCATCATTTATGGTTGTAATAAATAAAATGTAACAAAAAAAAAAAAAATGAAATCCATTTATTTTCTGGAAAGCGAAAAAAAAAAATTTTTCTTTAAAACAAAATGATGACAATATAACAATATATGCAATATATCCATTGATTATCTGGGCTTACCAACAACAATTTCGGGTGATTACAACCACCCCCAAAATGATCTTCTCTCATGGCCATGCAATATTTTTTTTGCATATTTTTTTTCGTATGAAAATTTCCCCAAAACATACACATTTTAGGACTTACTCGTTGTAAAAAATCCATCCATCATCATTCGATTTTGATTGTCCAATTTTTTTCTATCGAAAAAAATTAAAAAAATTTCAACAACAAAAAAAAACAACAAATGAACACAAAATAGTGTGAAATTTACCCCTTTTTTTTATTTATACATAGATTCGGGTTTTTTTTATGAAACTAAATGGCAAAAAAAAAAAAAAAAATTTCCGCTGTAGTAATTATACCAATATATATTGATGATTGATAATCAATGATAATGGTGGATGACGTCATTGGTTTTAAACGTAACGATTATTACGAAAAAATGACGTAATTTGATCAACAAAATAAATGATTGATTGATATTGAACATATAGAAACAATCATCCCATATGACTTCCCATAGTTGTTAGTATGTAGTGAGAAAAAAAAAATTATCATCATCATTATTATTGACGTTTGAATCTATCGATTTTTTTTTGTCTTTCTTTTCTTTTCTTTTTTTTTTTTTTTGACCATCCTTCTATTTGTCTTTACAAAATTTTTTTTTTCATTTAATTTTTTTTTGTCAATTACATTTCATTCGATTCGATGCACTCACAAATGAATCAATAATTTCCTGTGTGTGTGTGTTGAATCAACCACACAAACACACACAGACATCGTCATGTATAATCAACATACACACACACAAAAAAAAGATGAAGTAGTGGAAATAGAAGAGTAAAAAAAAAATTTTTTTTTTTCTATTTTGTCGTTGACGATAAGTACACAATTACGAGTACCCAAAATGAAAATTTTTTTTTTTTTTTTTATCAACCTGTTTTTGAACTTTTTATGTTTTACTGCTTACAAAATCATCCTCTCATCATTAAACATGATGATCATCATCATCATTGATCATTGATGATCATTACATTTCATTTCGATTTTTTTCGTTTGACCATCAACATCAAAAAGAGAAATTTTTTTTTTTTTTTTTGGAAATTTTAATTTTTTTTTCAATTCAATTCTTGATTTCAAACTTGGACATCATCGTTCACATTCGCTACCGAAATGATCGGTGAATAAAAAAAAAATTCCCTTAATCTCAAAGTTGTCGTTAACCTTGCCATTGTTTGTTTGTTTGTTTTTGTTTTCGTTTTGTTTTTGTTGTTATTCTCGTTATCACGAATTTTGTTTATCGATTCGATACTAATTTTGTTTTGTTTTGTTTTGTTTTTCCAATGATTACCTGATCAATTATCATCAAACATAACATAACATCACCTATAATCGTCAACAGCCATTTTAATCACATGATCAAACAAACAAACAAACAAGCAATTAAGCAATCAAGCAAAAAAAAATTTTTTATTTTGAAAAATCCAACCATTTTCTCGATAAAAAAGGTCTGTAAAATTTTCTGCATTCAATTCAATTCAATTCAATGATTGCGTTTCATTTTCAAATATTTTTTTTAAAGCTAGAATGAATGAAAACAGACAGATATTAGATTCTATCCTTGATGATTGATTGAATGTAGCAATCAAGAAAAAGAGGACAAAAAAATTTATCAATCGTACTTATACAGTAACCATTGAATTTATTATGCATGAATTTTATCGATTCATCAACCATAAATGTTGGTATATCCCTTGTATTGATAATTTTAGCCAACAATTAAAGTCAATATATGATTGACAATTGATGATCCATAGATATGATTATCAATAATATCAGATATATCCAAATGATAATAATGATCATTATCAAACAAAATAGGCCAATAGCTAGTGTTTATCTATCTATCTATCTATCTCTTTAATTCATTTTTTCATATTTTGACATTGTTTACCACAATCATCAAAGACATTAATTTCATTTTCATATATATTAATTCATTCAATTATTATTATTTCATTGAGTTATATCATCATCATGAAAAATTTTATTTTCCGATGGAAAAAACCTGATGTTGAAATACTTTTCTATTTCTTCATCATCATCATCATCATCATCATATGTACCTGTCGATATATGTGCGTCATTCAATCAAATCTTTTTTTTTTTTTTTTTTTTTTTGCAAATGATGAATTCTATAAAGAGAAAGTGAAAAAAAAAGAAAAGAGAGAAAAAAAAGATAATATGTGTGATAGCACAAGCAGTGATATCTATAGCTAAATGGATATATTAGAGAAAGAAAGAAAGAAAGAAAAAAGTTGTGAAGAGAGAGAGAGACAGAGAGAGAAGCATTGATTTAGATGATCAATAGATAGATAAACCATCAACCATTCAACCAGTTTTTCTTAATCGTTAAAAAAAAAAATTTTAATTCAATAACGCCACTATCATTTCGAATATTATTATTATCTTCATAATAAAGAAAATTCATACCCAAAATATTCGATTACTAACATCGGAAAACAGCCATATCAAAATATGCATATCATATGAATGTTTTCATGTGTGTGTGTGTGTGTGTGTGTGTTTCAATCAATTGAAATTCGATTGCTTATTGAATATATCGGTGTTTATTTGAATCAACAAAAAAAACCGGAATCTGAAAAAAATTTGTGTGTTTTTTTCCATGTTTCATGTATGTTCTTGTTTCAAACATATTTCATCTGTGTGTGTCTATGTGGCAAACAGTTCTGCTTTTATTTCTAAATTTTGTTCAATTAAAAACATCACTTTGGTTGTTGTTGTTGTTGTTGTTGTGATTTTTTTTTACCTTCAAATTATTAAATTGTGCTTGTTCTGTCCTTCTTAGATCAAAATCATTATCGGATTGTACGTGTATTGCTAGTTTTATGTCATTCTCTCTTTGTTTGTTTGTAACATTGTTTCGATACCTTAAATTTTCATTTTAATTCAATTTTTTTTTGTTGTAAATTTTTCTAATTTCTTTTTAAAATTTCCTCCTCTTACAGACACAATTATTTTATTTTTAATCGATCCTCGTATAAATCGGATTATTTGCATTTATTTTTTTCCCGTTTGGCAATCGTCATCAACGAATCAAAAAAAAAAAAAAAAAAAAAAAAAACAAAACGTTCAAAGTCAATAAGTTGAAAAAAAAGACAACGATTTGAACAGAAAAAAATAATATTCTTTCCCTGTTATAAGCAACATATATTTAATATTAAAAATGATCAATTCAAGTCCTAATCATTTGGATGTTGATGATGTATTGATAATGGGAGCCGAACAACAATCACGACGAAAATCACAATTAAATCTCAATCTGATTGGATCTAATACTAAACCTGAACCATATACACATAATTCATATACAAATCGTGCTATTATGGCATTTGTTGATGCTGTTTGTAAAATGAATGATGAGGTTCTTGTGCCTAGCCGTTTACGTGACATTGAAGTTCGTGAAACTGAAGCAAATGAATTGATGCCACAAAATTCTGATCTATATTCTTTTTATAAAATGTTGAATACGGTTAAAAAAGATTTGTTCAGCAGTTCTTTATTTTATAAAACATTTCAAGCCAAATCCAAGCGCTTCAAACAGTGGACAGAATAGTGGTCGTGTAACGCCAACACATTCATTGAGTCGTCGAAGTTCATATTCAGTTGGTTCGAGCAACGGTTTGATAAACAATACAACAACAACAACAACGAATGGAACACAAACAAATGGTACAAAAATTTCACCAACATTATTATTGCCTCCAACACAATTCGATCGTAAACTATCAAGTCCATGTCCAATGATGCATTCACCAAATGATGATTCTTCATTAGATTTATTGTCACCAACATCATTGTTGCCATCATTATCATTGAGCTATGTAAGCCGTGCAACAAGTCTATCAAGTTTATTGGCTGCCGCTGGCCATACGTTTGATGATGGTAATGAAACACCTGAAGATCATGTACATCAGATTACCGGTTGTTTTATGTATCATTTATCGGCATTATATACAATAATGGGTCATTTTACTAAAGCCGCCAAATTCATAACTAAAAGATATCAAGAAGAAATGAACAATAATTTGTAACAATAATAATAATTTTATTTTAATAATCCAAATACATTGAAAATCGTACAATACAATACAATACATTGTTGCTCAACATATCGATTGATTTTCGAATGAAAACAAAAATGACAAAATCGATAATAATTTATTATTTCTTATCAAACATTTTTTTTCCAATGAATTCTTAATTGGGTATACATATAAATGTGGAATTCATAAATTAATAAACTGAATGATGATTGATCATTAAAATTTGATCTTGATTGATATTCTATTAATTTTTTTTTTGAACAACATTCACACATGTCGTCCACCCACACTTCCACAATTTTTAAATTGATTAACACAAACATTTCATCTTTTGACAAAAAAAAAAATTTTGTATTTACACACACACACACACCATTCACACACACATTTGATAATCGATGATAATTATTTTATTTTTATTATTATTATTTTGATTTATCATTTTGTTTGTTTTTTTTTCTTTGTTGAATTTTTTTTTCATGAAAAAAAAATTTTTTTTGCCAAAGATTGATGAGTGTTGTGGTGTGGCTCTTTTTTTTCGTCATTGATATTCTTTTTGTTTCCGATTCTCCATTGATTGTCGTTGTTTTTGTTGTTGTTGTCGTTTTTGTTGCCGTTCAACCAAATCAAATAATTTGGTTGGTGATTTGATGTGCATTTTATGTGCAAAAATTTTTAATAATTTATACAGGCCCTGATGCTGCTGTTGCTGTTTCCGGTGTTCATTATTTTGTTTAATTCCCATTATTAATGAATTATTATTATGTTTTCCTAATTGTTGTTGGTCATCAACACCATCATGATTATTTTCTTTATTCATAATCATTGGAAATTGTTGCTGTTGTTTTTTTTGATATTGTATAAATGGATTCCTATATTTTCCATTATAGTCATTAATCCATGGTCTTGTTTCATAGATTTCATCATCATCATCATCATCAATTGGTGAGTTTTTACATTTGATCATCGAACGATTCTTATTATTGATTATACTTTTGGCCAATGTCATTGATTCAAATTCAACAATATCCAAAGGTAATGTAGAAAAATCTAATTTTTCATCATCATCATCATCATTAACATCATTAACATCATAGACAACGTTTGTAAAGTAAAATGGTAATTTTATCGGAATAGGATTTATCTGTATTATTGTTTGTTTGATGATTGGTTCTTTTTCTGGAATTTTAAATTCTTTATTATTCTTTTCAATAACATTAGTTTGTTTCATTGTTGTATTCAAATGAATTTTTTCCATTTTTCTATCAAAACTTTTTGGTCTTACTTCAAGTTTCACAGGTATTGTATCTTTATCTTTGTTTAATGTGATTACAGGTAATGATTCTTTCTCTTTGTTTAATGTGATTATCGGTGGCAATTCATTTTCTTTTTTCATTGCGACCGATGGTGATGATCTAACATTTGACCATCGATGACTAGATTGTTTGGCAATAGTATCAAATCTTTTTGAATCCTTATTTTTTGATTCATTTTTTCTTGTTGATGGCCTTGATGTTGATGTTCTTGATATTGATGTTCTTGATGTTGATGATCTTCGTGAACGTTGATTACCACCTTTTGATTTTCGATGTCGTGTTTTCGATGGTGAATTTCGTTGATTATGTCGTGGTGATTTTTTTTCCTTGAAATAATCACGTTTTTTAATATTTTCATGATTTCCTGATGATGGTAATCCAACATTACCCATTACCAATGCGATTATATTCATCAAGAAAAAAAAATGTTGGCAAATATTTTCTGTATTTATAATAAAACAAGAATTTAAATTAAATTAAAATTCAAGAATTTCAATTTTCTCAGAACAAAAAAAAAAGTCATTGGAATGTAATAAAAATTCTATCGATCCTAACAATCGCATTATTTATGAAATTCCTTTCAATGAATCATCAAACACACACACACACAAAAAAAATAGTACAATTAGAAAAATCTGTCCTTGTATTCGAGTAATAATAAAAAAATAACAAAAAACTCACAATCATCATTTTTTTGGATATCAAATTTCTTCATCAAGTTTATCAACAATTTTTCATTGATTCCTATCTTATTCATAACAATTTTTATTTTTATTTTCGTCTAAATCAACGTTCAGTTGATCTCTTGAATGATAATTACACAAGTGTCTATAGAAGATAAGAATGGCAATAATCATCAAAGACAACAGCAGCAACAACAACAACAACAACATGTTGATATTGTTATAATATTCAAAATGAAATGAATTTTCAATTAAAATTTAACAAAGTTAACTGGGAGGTGGGGAAGAAAAAATTATTAAGATTTTTTCCACATATGCCAGATAGGAAATGAATGATTTGATTCATCATTTTTCAAACGAATGAATGAATAAATGAATGAATGAACAACAGCAAACACAACAGTGAAATTAATGAGAAAAGAAAACGCCCCGTCATAAATCACTCAGGAATTTATTTTGTTTTGTTTTGTTTTGTTTCAAAACACACAATATTTTTATAATATTATGGATGGATAATATAAAACAAACGTTACATTTATCCATTCATTCATTCATTCATTCATCCATATTCTTTCACATCATCATCATCATCATCATCAATCAATCAATCAAATCAACCAAATGATCATGATGATGATGACATATAAACACACACACACACACACACCACTATTGAACTATTGTGTGTGTTATTTATTTAATCTTTGTTTTCCTGTATTTAAAATAATTTTTGTAATGATAATACATATACATTTTATATATATAATATTCGTTTGACATATACGATTGTTGATATCTTTGTCTCTTTCTCTTTCTTTTTTTCTTTCTTCATAACTTTCACTTTGGGTGTTGTCTACACACATTTTACTTTTCATCATAATTTTCTAACGGCTTCATATGCATAGATTTGTTGTCAAAAAAAAAAAAAAAAAAAAATTTTACTTCTGTTGTTCGTCATTTTCGAACATTTTTTTGTTAGTTATCATCATCATCATATATAGCACACACCACCACCACTACCCATGTAAACTAACAAGTGCTGCATTTACACCCACATTTTTTGTTTGTATGTTTTATACTTGTATCTTGGCTTACCATTTATTTTTTTTTTCTGTTAAAATTGAAATGACTTCACACTTCATTTCACCATAGATTTGATGAAAGGATCTAATGTGATAAGAAGAACAAAAAAAATGAGAACACAAAAGTATCACTTATGTGTTGATTTTTTTTTTTTTTGTCAACAACGACACAATGATGACGACCACGACGACGACGAATCCAAAAGGACGATAGAGTCCAGTTACAACCAGAAACAGGTCTAAGCATTATGGATAAAGCAAGTGAAAAAAAATGAGATTATGAAAATCAGGAACCAGACAAAAAAAAAACAAACAAACGAAAGATATATTAATACATGCGCCGATTGATTATGTGTTTGATTAATAATATGAAAAATAAAAACAGAAAATTGTCGACGGATATAAAAAAAAATCGAATTATCATATTGTATATATGAATTTAATTATACAACAAGTACCGGCGGATGGATGGATGGATGGATGGAATGGAATGGATAGTGTGGGCAAAACAAAATTTGATCATTTCAATGTGTATTGATGATATAATAATGGGCGGAGGGCGTACACACGTACACACGCACACACATGGTGATAACAAATGTGTATTTATATATTTGGTTTTGATATGATGAGATATTATTGTTGTATGTGTATATATATGTTAAGGTTGAATTTTTTTTTATTATTATCATCTATAGATATAGATAGCTGTTTAATGTAATGTAACACACACACACACACACAGAATATAAAACATTCACATCAAAATACTATGAATGCGTAGAAGATGAAGACCATCATATATTTCTATGAGTATGAGTATATATTATATTTAATGCACAAAATTATTTTTATACAAAGAGTCAATTAACAATAAAAGCAAGGGAGTAAAGAAAAAGAAAAAGAAGTGAAAAAAAACCCAAAACGACAAAGGAGACCACCACCAAAGACATTTGGGTATCATTTTTTTTGTTGTTGTTGTTGTTGTTCCCTTTTGATGATAGCTGATAGCTAATGAAAGGAGTTGAATATCAGTAAAAAAAAAAATTTTTTATTCAATCCAATCATCATCATTACAATATATATGTGACAAAACCAACTCAACAACCAATCCATCCATCCATAAATACATAAATATTCATAATACAATCTCTCTAACACACCGACCAAAAACTAAAAAGTCAGTCATTTTAATAATCGAATGACATTTGAATGTGTCAGCACATCTATTGCTTTCGTTGATCACCAACAACAACAACATCATCATCTTCATCATCAGCAGCAGCATCATTACAATAATAATCGTCATATTAACATTGAATCGTGACAAATATATATATTATTTTTAAACGACACAATAAAAAATTACGTTCAAAAGATCGATTCGAATCAAATTTTTTTTTCTTCACGCTCAACATTTTCATCTTTTGTTCAACATTTTTTTTGACCAAGTAAAATATGTTGTTGTTGATCTTTAAAAGTTAACTTTCAAATCTAAATTTCAATTCTTTTTTTTTTTTTGATCTTTTTAAATCATAGACAGAAATCATCACCAAAACAATAAAAAATGAAACGCATTATTATTATGATGACCATTGTGGTTGTTTTATGTATGGCCTTATTGATCAATGGTAATCCAACTGATGCTGAATCATCAATGGAACAAGCTAAAAAAGCTGTATCAGATGCTGCAGATAAAGTAAAAGAAGCTGCCGGTGATGTTGCTGAATCTGTACAAGATGCAGTCAATAAAACAGTCGAAGGTGTTGGTGATATGGCCAATAAAGTTGCAGAAGGAATGCCTAAAATGAATACTTTTAATAAATCATCATCATTACAAGCAAATACAATGATTGCAATGATTACCAGTGTATTTTTGATGATTTGTTTAAATCATTTCTAGAAACACTTATACACATACACATTACACACACCTATGAAATTTTTCATTCTTAAAACAATAATATAATTTTTTCTGAAATATAATGATAAAACTTTCAATAAAAATGATTGACTCTAAATGTGATCATCATTATATTGATGATGATTTTTATTTAGAATCAAACTAAATATGTTTAGTCAACACACAGACACATGCCACTTATATATTCATTTAATCATACCTGTTTATCACCTATATACTTCCTTTCTTTCTTCTTTTTTTTGTATCGAATAAAATTTGATAATTGAACAAATTGTGTAGAGAAAAAAAATTTTCATTTATTTCAATCGAAAAATTTTTGGATTAATTACAAAGCAATATTGGTGGAAAAAAAATGAGTGGAAATGTAAATAAAAAAAAAATCTGAATAGTTTGAACATTTTTTTTTTCTGTCAGAATGACTGAATGAATGAATGTGATCATTATAAAACCTTGAAATATTGACAATCGGTATGCAATGGAAAACAACAAACAAACATTGCGATTAGCAAATAAAAATTATTATATGAATAGTGTAAAATGATATGTGATAATCAGGCTGTCAATGAAACACACTTGAATTAAAGTTTGTCAAATGAAATGAAATGAAAAAAAAATTATTGACAAACGATACCAGTATCTACATTTGCATTTTATATTGTTGTGTGTTAAGCTGATTGAAGTTCCAGTTCATGTTCAAGAAGCATTTTTTCAGCATCAAATTTTCTAATCAATAGTAAAATTTTGTCATAAATAGATTCAGGTTTTAGATTCTGGATAGCAGAAAAAATTTCTTCATAGGTATCATTATCATATGAATGATTGTTTATTTCATTCATTGACATAAAATTGTTACGAATATCATCCAATTGTTGTTCGATTGGATTTTTCAACAATTTCAATTCATCTCGAAGTTGACAATGGTCATAGTATTGATTAAGTTTTTCTTGATATTTTTCCAGCAAATTTTTCAAATCCATTAACTGTTCAATTAATTTACTATAACGATTTTTGATTGGCATTAAATTTGATTCAACAAAATCGGTCAAGTCCGTTAAATCGTTATCACATTCATTCATGGATTTCATTTTCAAATATTTCAATAGAACGGAATCGATTTCGTTTTGCATATCATTCTTGAAACGTTCAGTTATTTTAAATATCGATTGATTGTATTGGTCGATGACGTCTTTTAGTCGCATTAATGATTCTTTAATAAAATTATCCAATTTATTATTATCAAATTGGCTGCCCACACCATTTTCATATGTTTCATTAAGTGATTGTTTCAATTTTTGACAAGATTCCATGATATCAAAATTATTTTCCAATACTATTTTATCATTGATTTCTGGACATTTTTTTACTTGAAGTCGATTACGATTAAATTCGGCTAATCTTTTGTATTCCATTTGTTCATCCAATGATTGTTGTAGTTGAGCAATTTGATTTTCCGTACATTCCACATCGTTCGAATCTTTATTGTTGATTTCCAATGTAGAATCATCGAGAAAAATTCCATCATCAACGATTGTCTCAATCAATTTGTAAAGCCAAGGAGATATCATGGCCTCCTTTCTAAGGAATCCATGTATTTCAATCAATTCTTTTTTATTGAAATACAAATTTTCTGGATCACTTTCAGCCAATTTTTGAAAAAATTCTTGAATATAATATTTTTTACGTTCAATCAAACCTTTAAATTGTTTACGATGTGAATTCATGATGATAATAATTTTCTTAATTGATGAACAATTTTAAAAATAAAATTTCCAATACAAAATATTAATTTAACGGTCGCGCACAAAAAAAAAAAAAACATCTGTTGCTCTATCATTAGAGTACGTTACCGGTATGTTTCATCATTTCGACGATAGATGGAAATATATATAGTTTTATTAGGCGGGAAAATTTAAATCTAACAAAAATTTTACATTGAGGTTAGATAATCGGAAATGAAAAAAAATTGTGGTTTTTTTTGCTAAATAAAAAAAATAAAAAATAAAATATAAAAGGACAATGTTTCTCAGCAAACAATAAAAAAAAAACTAAGATGAAATTTTCCATCTCGCACCTTTTTTCCATAACAATGGTACAAGAGAAACCGGTTTCAATTGTGCTGGATGTTTCCAATGCATCCAAAAAAAAAAAAAAAAAAATGATTCCAAATAGAGATGGCAATTCATAATGTGATTCGCATTATCAGTTGAGAAAGAAACAAAAAAAAATTATACTAAACTAAATGTCCAATAATAAGAGGCTTGAAACATGACATGAATGGATATTTTTTGTGCAAAAAGAAAAAAAAACAAACAACAACAACAACAACAACATGCCGACAACACGAATCTCAACAATCATCTAATCGTCAAACAAAATTAAAAAAAAAATTTCCAATCATACAATGTTCATACTAAACAAGGTTTTTTCTCATGTTGATAACAACAACAATTTGAATCTGTTTTTTCTATGGCCTGACTATAATAATCAATTGTGTGTGTGTGTGTGTGTGTGTGTGTGTTTTCAAACGAAACAATTCTGATTGTTTGTATGTTGTTTCAAATTAAAAAAATTTTTTTTTTCATTACAATCATTCGATTAAATCCAATTTTTGATTGATTGGCAAAAAAAAAAAACAAAATTAAATTCATTTTCCATAAGGTCGATGGAATTTCAAAGATATAATTCAAAAAAAAAAAGTAAAGTTATGAAGTTATCAACCTTCCATTTATTGTTGATCTATTTCGTCATAATATTAACAACGTGAAAAAAAATGTAAGAAAAATTCAATTTGACAATTTAGTTGTCATATACTTGGTTAATATGATTTTTTTTCTCATTTTTTTTGTCATCTTTTTATTTTTGTCAATTTGTGTGTGTGTGTGTGTATGTGTATCTTCAAATTATCACACCATGTTATAGTTATCGTCATTGTTGATCATCATCATCTGTTCGTATTTCAATTAGAATTTCATCAACCTGAAGCAAAAAAAAAAAAAGAAAAAATCACAATTACTGATCTGGAAATATTGACAATTACGTATACACACACACACACACAAGAAACATCGAAAAATTACGTATATATAGTTGATCTCAATCATTTCTGTGTGTCGAAAAATTTTTATTTTTTTTTTTCATTCATCATTGATAAATTTCAATTGAATAGGATCGAATTTTTATTTCAACTTGATTCTCAGGTAAGTTTATTGTATATTATCGAAAATAGAAATTTATCAATATGGAAATAGAATAAATTGTATATAAAAAAAATGAAAATCATATCAAATTTTTTCCTGGTGTCCATTTTTGTTTTATCATTTATTTCCTTGTTCTCAATTAGAAATTTACCATATATTGGTTGTTTGTGATCATATACGGTTGGTTATCTACTGATTTTATTTTCAATTTGTTTGACAAACAACATGACCCATATGCTTGAAACTATTTGGTATTATTGTCATCAATATTGGATCGATATTCAAGATCCACGTACAGCCGATTATGCAATGGTTAGTGTTAAATGATTGGATGTGAATTTTTTTTTGCGTTCAATAAAAGTGAACAAATAATTTTTTTTTTCTCGTTAAATTTCAGATCGGCGGCGGTGCATGGAAGATTGCCATCGTTGTTTTTGGCTATTGGCTATTAGTTAAAAAAATTCTACCAAATTATATGCATAATCGTCAACCATATGATCTGAAAACTGTGATTCTTATCTACAATTTAATGATGATTCTTACGAATGCTGCATTCTTCTTTTTTCTCATCAAATATGTTGAAATTCAATGGTTTTTTGATTTTAAATATCCAGATCGTAATGATCGTAGCCCATTGGCTATGGAAATGTTATGGCTTTCATGGTTTGGTTATATATCACGATTTTTCGATATGTTCGATACGATATTCTTTGTGTTGAGAAAAAAATATAATCAAATCACATTTTTACATGTATATCATCATATGATTGTACCTTTTTTAGGTAAGATTTAGGTTCGAAATCCATATCCATATTGATGCTTTATTATTATTATTATTATTATTATTTTTTTTTTTGAATGCAGGCTGGTTTTCATTCAAATTAAATCCATTAATACCGATCATAATGTTGTTTGCAGCATTCAATACGGTCATTCATGTAATTATGTATTCATATTATGCGTTAGCATCGTTTGGACCAGAAATGCAAAAATATCTATGGTGGAAAAAATATATTACACAATTACAATTATTACAATTTATGGTTTGTGGACTATATGGAATATTACTTTACTTTCAACAAACTGGCTATCCAATGATATGGTTTATTGTTGCCGTTGGACAGAATCCAATATTTTTCTACATGTTTTATGATTTTTATCGACAAGCATATCAAGATAAATCAAAAAAATTGGATAAAAATGATAAATTTAAATCCACATACATTATGAATGGTAATGGGAAAAAAGTTTATGAAAAAAAAACACACACACACACAAATCAATCCATTGAAGACATGTTGATTGATATTAATTTTTGGAATTTAAATAAATTTTTTATTATGTTTTCAAATTAAATCAACACAATTTGATGATCAACTATGGATGGTTTTTATTAAAAATTACAAAAATTTTTTGTTTACAAACAATGTAATTTTTGTTGCAGCTAATAGATGGCACACCAAGTTTTGAAAAAACAAACAAATTGTGATTTTTATTTCATTTTTTTTATGTTGCAACAAGTTTATGGAGAATTTTTCTTTTTTTTAATTTTCATTTAGTTGAACGAATTGATTGGTCGTCCGACTAAATAATCAAGACGAAAAAAAAAAAAATTTTTTTTTGTCTATTTTTAACCCAATGATCTCTGATAATGTAGATGATGATTATGATGATGGCCAACAATAGAATGGATGCTTAAAATAGTAAATTTATCTCTTCAAAAAAAAATAAGATGTATGTTCATATACGAAATTTTCGTAAAGAAAAAATGAAAATTGTTGACCAAAGTTGTTCTAAAGTCATTGTCCAAAATTATAAAAATGACCAATCACATGACATGAAAAATCAGGTTGAAGATCTTGTTGTTGTTGTTATTCATGTCTGTCTTGCCTATAATTAATAGTTAAACCAAAATCGAAAGTTCTCGTACACTCTCGATTTCACTTGATATGTTTCTCTCATATATTTCATGTTTCCATTTTTGTCCTCGGTCAAAAAAAAAAAAAAAGATTTCAAATTTAGATCTTAATTCACTTATCCAGCAGTGAGAAAAAAAAGTGGATAAGATTCAACCATCCAAATTAAAGTGAAAAAAACCCGAATTTTTTTTTAGATGGATTAAGGTACATTGAACAAATGATGAAATTTAATTTGACAATTTCTACATTGAATGATTGCGATCGATATCTTTATCCATTCACACAATCATTTTTGATATCCTTGATCCATTCCATATCGAAGATTCGATTATCAATGATGAAAAAAAATTCCATAATTCAAAAAAAAAAAACGACAATGATAAATAATCAAAACAACCAACAATGGAACCTAACATAATCACTTCATGACCTAATTTCATCTAATACGATTTGAAAGTGTCAGATTTGCAGTCTTGTTTTGTTCATTTCATGACTTAAATAAAAAAAAAATTTCATTCTAGTGATAAACAATGTTTTGTTATTATCGTTATTATGGTTATAAATAGCGTGAATTGAATCTTATTTTTATTTTCACAATTTATCTCACGTACAAATAGATGCAAATCAGAGGAAAAAAAATATGATTATGTGAATCCAAAGATCAAGGATTCATACAGTTTCGTTGGTTTAAGATAGAATAACACAAGGCTTTATAGTCGTTACAATTATCAATTTAGTTCAAACCAGAAAAAAAACCGTTGAATGTATGTTACGCTGACGTATATTCATCGACCGAACAACTAACCAGCAACAAAACATTCCAATTCGAAATCAGGAAAAAAAAATAATGGTAAAGATTATTTCACATCTAAGATGTCATTCGATATACAAAAGGTAATGAAGGTTATTTGATACTGGCAGCCCATGATTAACATTAAAGGTTTACATTGACATCAATGGTCGACAAAAATGGTCAATTTTGGCCATATGTTTTTTTTTTTGTTAGATTACACCAAAAAAAAAATTACCGCCTAAAACAAACATTGTATCTCAGCGGAATATCACGCGTCAGTCGGGTGTTAACTGTATTTAAGAATTTTTTTTCGTTCAACCTCCTCAAAATTATATAGTAATGTAAAATTGAAAACAATGACATTTTTTTTTTAAATTCGCTTGTCTAAGGAATCATCACATGTTATTATCATTGTGTTAAAATAACAATACGAATGCCGTCCACACAAAAACAAACACATCAACGCACTCAAAACAAAAATTTAATTAAGAAAATGAAATTAAAATAAGATTTATTTCATATATGAAACATTATACTTCCTATCAAATAGAAATAATAATAATTTACAAAAATCATATCAATAATGTTGAGTTTCAAATGTTAAATGTTGTGTTGTGTGTTTTGTGGGTGTGGGTGTGTGTTCATTTTTTTGTTGAATAATGATAATATAATAGATATAATAGAAATAATGATAGGAACAAAAAATTAATGTAAAAAAAAAATATTTACATTTACAATTATAGAATCAGAATATAATTCTTTGTAAAATAAAAAAAAAACAAATATTGAAAATAAAGAAAAATTGTAAACTTAAGAAGAATCGATATATATATTTGTTTGAAGCCAATGTTGATAAATTTTTTTTTGTCGTAATAAATGAAATTGTATGAATAATTCAGGATAGTTAAGATGTAACTGATTTTACGTAAAGTTTGTGTTTTCATTTGTTGTGTTCAAACTCTCACAAAGCATTTAAGTAGCATTTTAGTAGAGAGTAATATGTATTTTTTTTCTTCTTTTTTTTTTAGTTGAATGATGAACAAATATGCTTGAAAGAATTATGTTGTCATCACATTCATCAGGTTGGTTATGTTGATTCTATTCAGTAAATAATGGATAAATTATGATGGTGATTTTGATAATGACGATCTGATGATTAGGAATCGAAATTTAATTAATGAATGAATAGGAAACCATTGGATAGTTGTTTGTTTTTATATATGTGTTTGCGTAGAGGGTGTGTCAATATTTGTCTTAATAATAAATGGTAAAAAATCGGTCATTTTTTATCTATTTCTTCAACGTCGTGCTGCTTCCGACAATCCTGGTCGTTGTGATCCACCATCCAAACTTAAAAATGGTTTTCTAACCTTGATAATGTTTATATATTTTGTTGATTCAACTTTTGGTGGTTTTGCTTCACGCCTAAATCGAAAAATTCTCGATGATCTTTCAGCCATATTGTTGATACTGTTGCTATTACTTGATGATGTTAATGATCCACCGGTTACACCTAATAATCGAGCTTTTTTCAATAGATTACTGGTGTCCAATAGGAACAATGTACGATGTAATCGTGCTGAATTTCTTTGTAAATCACCACTATCCGGTACAAATGAATCGCTATCATCAAATAATAATTTACTTTGAATCATGTCCATTGGTAAACCATTACAAGTGATGGCTAAATTATTAAACAATATAAAAAATGAACAAATTATAGATGCCGTGATGATGATTTTATTTGTCGTAAATAATGATGGTGACATTTTGAAAATTTTTTTTTCGATGTGTTGTTTTTTTAAAAAATAGATTCAATTTAATATCTGGTCGAATTGATGTGTTGGTCGTGTGCTCGAAGTATATTTTCATGGGATAACTGAAACGAACTGGTTTATGATGGTATATCAGAATTTACCAACGGTATTTATACTAATCATTGAATTTGAATTGGTTTCAATAAGAAATTTTTATCATCATCATGAAAGGCGTGTATCCACTATAGAAGATAAAAGTGTATACAACTAATCATAATGATCTCTATCAAGAAAAAAAAGTAAAAGAGAACAACAAAATAAGATCAAATCTTGATTTGAATAAAAAAAAAAATGATTTCTCACAAACATTTCACATGAACGTTTTAGCAAAAAAAGCGGGATATAGAGGGAAAAAAGAGAAAAAAAAGGCTGAATAATTGTATTGTGAATATATATCTCTGTTTGTACGAACGTGCGATCATTTCTCTGTGTCTAGTTGTGTGTGATCACATATCATGCCACAAAAATCAATTTTTTCAAGATATCGATAATAATAATAATAATTAAAATTATAAAGAGATTAAGACTTTTTTTTGGCAAAGCTTTCTTATTTTATTTTTTATTTTTTTGCTTTTAGTAAAATTTATCTAATCGATATTCGTACTTGCATACCATCGAAAAAAAATCCAATTGGTTGAATCAAATCAAATTGATGGCCAAAAAAGAAAAAAAAATTTCTATTTATTCTCTCTTTTCCACCCCCACGTTAATTGATTTTTTAAAATTGAATTGAATGGATGAAAATGATAAAATATGAATATGAATATGAATTGAAAATATGAATTAATGAGAAAAAAAGAAGAAAAATACAAACAAAACAAAACAAAACAAAAACAAATCAAATCAACATTCATTCTATTCATGACCGATGATGATGATGATTTATACCCATATAACATGTGTAGGCATTCGAATGATATCAAAATCGAGAGATCGAATACTGTTTTGGCTAATGTTCTATTGTTGGATGTTAATCGTATTGCTAAAACATCAAATGATACCAAATTATCGTTGGCTCAGATTTCAGTTGAATTTGTTTTTGATGATAATAATCAATGGATCGTTCGATTTCAATAAGCACTTTGACTACAGAATCTGAATTTTGTACTTTCTTCCATTTGTCTGAAATATATTCAACTATATTCGTCATGATCGTATCGTTGTCGTTGGATATGATCAATTCTTGTTACTCTAAGATATAAAATATCAAAGAATTGGTCTAACTGCATTTAAGCGTTTGACTCTAATTGTTTTTTTTTGTGTTGGTGTTAGTTTCACTGGCGTAGTATGTAAAAAAACTATGAAAACGTTATGCATATGTTTAAGTGGAAAATGATTATGTTTGAGTCAAAGTGGCACAAATTAGATTACTGTATTTGTAAAAATGTCTCAACTTTTCTATAATTCAACTTGATTTTCGTTTCTGTTCTGGACAGTTATAATTTTGATTAATAAACTTTTGTGTCTTTGTGTTATGTTTTTTTCTCTGAAAATTTTTTTTCGTTCTCATTTACGCTAACTTTCGATTCGTAAATTCGCAATTTTATTCTGTAAAAAGATTTTACTCCCCAGAATGATGTTTCATTAATCTGTGATTACACTCAATCAATTACGACAAAGGGTAAGATATGATTGATTTAAGCATCATTGATTTTATTTGATAAATGAAAAGTCAATTTTTTTTAAATGTTTGTTTATTGAAAAAAAACGATGGCCTAATGAATATATATCACGAGTAACCGTCATACCATCATTATGATATGAAAAATTCACATGTTTATGTAAGCTTGTGATATTAAATTGTTTTTCTGTGATTTTCACCAAATCATTGATGATATTGTCCAAAGATTTGTAATGAAAAAAAAGATGATGATGGTGATGAGATTTCTCGTGTTGATTAAAAAATTGAAATATAATCAAACTTTGATATTATGATTAGATTATTTAGTCAAAACAACAGAAAAAAAATCGGATTTCGGAATTTGGTCTAAGTCTTAAACTCTAAGAGAACCACCACAAGTACCACCACCACCACCACCAACATCATCATCATAATCATAGGATAAACATCAAGTTGTTTATGAGAAAATCCCTAAACATAATATTCAAAGTTATCATAATTTCAAAATCATTTACACTTGGCCATTCGAATCCGATCTAATAGGTCAAATTTCAAAAATCTATTTCAAGATTGATGGACAATCCCAACAGCATTCATAGTTTTTTTTAACCAAATAATTCTCAATGGATATCATCGATTATGAAGGCACGTGACACGTGCAATTTTTTTCTGATTTGTCAATTTCATGTCCGGCTCGATATATTCATAGAAAATTCGCTTTCAATGATCAATAATTGAAGATTTTTTTTTCATTGAAAAAAAATCAAGTAAAAAAAATCTTGATCCTGTCATGATATTCAAATTTTATCATTATCATGATGAGGAGGATGAATAAATGTTGACAAATTCATGCCAAAAACAATTATCTTTATTTCATAGAAAACGACTTGATGATAGTAGCCAATTTATCAATAATCATAAGTTTGATTAGTTTGATTGATCATATCTTTAAAATTTTGTTGTTTTGTCTTTTTTTTCTCTTCACTAAGGATGATGATCGCTACGGTGATGAGAATGATCCAAAAATGAACATTTCATTCAACCCAATTGTTTGTTTGATTGATTTTTGTGATTTCATTTGATAGATCACACACACACACACACAAACACATCGTTAATATCGTATTGAACGATCAATGAAATTTATTCATGTGACTTTTAAATCATTTGATAAATGTAAAGCGTGTACTAAGACTATAAACTTTTAAATAGTACAGGATTTTCTCATGATAATTTTCTATTAGTTTCGATTTTATAATTTATTATTACTTATATTCATATGTATTTTAAGATTCCGGCCATTCGATTTTTCTTTTGTTTTTGAAAATTGGGATAAAAATTATGATAAAAATTTCCAATGTATCGGGAACAAATTGATCAAGATCATTTTGATTTTTGTTTGTTTTGATTATTTCAATAAAATTATAATAGATCTTTCTTAATAATGGCCAAATGTTTATCAACAATTGATCATGAATGTATGCAGTGATCATTGAAAATCAAGATGACCGAATTTCTGGCAACAACATCCTTGAATGATAAAAAAAAACCTATTGATGGTGTTGTCGTTTTTTTGGTTGATATAATCCAAGTATTACATTTACCTTTGAATCGAATGACCATGTTAATCAGAAATAAATTTTCAATAATAATATAATAATATTTTCATTGTAACATTTTTTTCCATTGAATTATATATATTGGATATAATATAATAACTCATTTAATATCGAAGTTACTCTGTTAGAAATTTGGCTAACTAAATTGATAATGGCGAAAAAAAAACTTCATATAAATATTTGATGATTTGATAAATTATCGTTGTTGATTTGGCCAACGTTCTTATCAACGCGTTCACACGCCATAAAAATTCAATAAGTCAGTCAGTCAGTCAATCAATCAGTTAGTTAGTCGGTATTTTATTCATTCATTTATTTAAAAATATGCCGAAAATCATTTTTTTTTCATACGGTACGAAAATTTTTTCTTTTTTTTTTTTGTCAAAAAAAAAACAATTTGTTATTTTGGCCACCATCCAAATCCCGACTAGTATTCGATTGACGCCTCTTTATTTGTATCATACCAAATTGAATGTTCATCATTTTGATTCGATTCGATTTGGCTCTTGGAAACAAAGAATTACAGCGATAGATAAATATAATAAATGTAACCGATGATTGTGGCAATCGGCAAAAAAAAATTCATCATCATCATCATCATCAATTGAATTATTATTGATTGTGTGATCCATCTACGTTCGAAATACGTTCGTGCAATATATTTGTGTGATAATAAATTCAATAACTATGAAATGCGATAGGATCGCCAAAATGTTACCAACTCATACACACACACACTTTCATACAAACAATTTTCAGCAATGAACAAATTCATATGGCACGCGAAAATGTTATTTTTTCCATTTTTCTTTTTGATTATGATGATCTGTTGGCAACAATTTCGGTTTGATGATATATGAAGACAACGACCAAGATGTTGAATGTGATTGTGGATAAAGGATTAGTAGTCTAATCAATGAATGATTTTTTTTTTGAATATTCAATTGCAACATCATTTTCTTTAAAAAAAAACTATTGAAAATTGAAAACGAATACATTACACATACAATAAGAATCGAATGAATTTTATTGAAAAAAAAAATTTAATCAATTCAAATATTTGATTGTATGACACCATCATCAGTAACAACGGTCAATGGATTAAATAAACCTTGACTACAATATCTAGCAATCACATCAAATGGATCGCCACGACATTCAAGTAATTCTTTTTGGAATAAATCGTTTACATTTTTTACATTATCAAACATACTGATTTCGTTCAGGATTTTTCTTGATTATAAACAAAATAAAATAGTAAAAAAAAATTAAAAAATTGAATGTCATGCACAAAAAAAAATTCAATTAAAAATTTACCTATTCTCCTGTAGACAACTTGGACATTCTTGATCATTGTCGGTAATATAACTTTCAAAACAAGTTAAATGAAATGAATGATTGCACATAAAATGTACAGATGGTAATTCCAATACATGTGAACAAGCGGCACATTTAGTTGCTTGGAATACTTTTGGTTTATTTTGAATATCATCAATATGTTTACGTGTACGTTCACATTCATCACGATATTCATCAATTAATCGATCATTTTCATCAATCTCTGCTTGTTGTGTTTTGATCCATTGCATAAGATATTCACGACAAACACCAAGTGTAACTTTGCCTGGTTTCGAAATGATTTCAATCACCATTAGTGGTGGTAATAATTGATGTTGTTCAATTTCTAAAATTTTTTTCAAAAAAATAAAATGAAATAATCCTTATTTTTTACAATAATCTTATCCGAACAGCTTACTTTCCAGTACAGTGGTAATATTTGCCTTTTGTTCTTGATTATAAATTTCAGCAAAATACTGCAATGAATCCACCCATAATTGTGGACATTCTTTATCAGCAAATTTTCGGCATGTTTGCATTACACCATCGCTATCTTTTCGTTGTATAAAATGAGTTAGAATTTGTTTATACATTCGTGACTTTTCATATAAAAATAATACGCCCGGTATAAAATTAGACATTTGGCATAGAATCATCGCCTTTTTTATATCGAAATTAGAATCAGGATCCTGTAAGAATGCCATAATTTTGTTACGATTTTCGGCAAGTCCCTGAATGTTTTCCAAAAAACAAAAGAATAAAAAAAAACATCAGAATCTTGTTACCTTTTTAAACATTTATAGAAATAGAAAGATATATATTTGTATCATACATCTTCTTGAATTTCATTTTTATATGAATGCATGTACATTTCCAACAATGTGTTACTAATTTCAATAGGCACTTTGGCTACAGAATCTGAATTTTGTAGTTTTTTCCATTTGTCTGAAATATATTCAAGAAATTCAATCATTTTTGAATGATGATTAAGAAAAATGTGAAGATATTTTTCTGGACGATTTTGTTCAATTTCAGCTTGTTGTCCATCAATATCAACGATCAAATCTGTTAGCAAATCTAAAACGGTTTATAATTAATGTTAATATATATAAAAATTTACATAATAATTGAACGAACCTAAACTTCTTGAATCAGAATCTTTAGTTTTTTCTTTTTCAGCCATTTGTTGTTGAGCGGATAATTTTTTCATATAAAATAAACATAATTGTTTTAAAAGTTCGGTGCTTTTATCCGGTTCATCGGCCATTAACATTCTGCCAAATTTTCGTAGATATCGTCCAACAACAGGATAATTATCTTCGCCTTCATGGATCATTTCAGTGAATGAATCCAACACGGTACGGGAATCGGCTTTATCCTCCAACAGTATAGAAAAGTATGAATCATATTTACGATGTTTTCGTGCCAACAATATTGCATTATCATAATAGCCAGCTTGACGTAGCACTCGAATTGCGATTTCAACATCGAAAACCAAATCCGATGAACGAAGAAATTCATTCAGCTTTGATTCATCTTTTAATTTCACATAACAATTAATCAATAATGTTGTATGATCTTCGGTGGCTAAATCACGTTTATGTATTTCTTGTAAATAAGAAGTTAGATTGTGTATACGTTGAAGATCTAGGAATTTCCGAATGACATAAGATGGTTCAAGATATCCTAATGTTTGACAATATTGATTGATTGCACCATCATAATCACCATTCTGATAGAGATGATCACCATATTGTTTGAACATATCGGCCAATACATCCTGACTATAGATCTGTGTACGAGCTAAATCGATCGCCAAAGAAAATTGATTCTTTTTGAATAATATTTCTAATTTGGTTTGAATATCACATTCTTTGAATATAATCACACGACCATCTGTAGTGATTGCATACAATTCACTCCATTCAGAAATTAATTGACTTACAGCCGGAATCGGACATGAAAAGGCAATGAATTTTTGTTCAATATCATAGATAGTAATCAGATTGGGATTTGGATTTGATAATGATGGTGTACCCTTATTTGGCGTGGTTGATTCTTGTTCATCCATTTTTTGATTTTTTTTCGACAATTTTGGAAGATTGGAATTGTCATTCAAGGTGATCACAACTAAATAATTTCGAAACCATGTGAGAAATAGTTTTTGACCTTCATACGCTAAACATGGTCCACGGCCATCGGTATTATAGAAATAGATAGCATCCTTTCGACCGACAATAAATTGTATAGATTCCAGCTTTTTCGGATCACATTTCAAACAACTGGCTCCAATTTCACTACCGAAAGCATCTAAATCAATTAGTAAATTCAACAATTTGAAATTAATTACAAAAATGAATATAAATATCTAACCGAGAAGAAATTTTTCTTCAAGATGATCTTTATCACGTCCAGTAGTTGTAAGATTGTATGAACAAATTTCTTTACGAGTAGAAACAAACAACGTGACAAATTGTCGAACAATATTTTCTCCGGAAGAAGATCCACGAAGCGATTTCGATGGCTTGTTTATAGTTCGCAGATTCGTAGCAAACGCAACATTAGTGACAGAATCATTTTGTGATACTTCTAATAATTTGATGCGAAGATTTCGATCACGATCTCGTATCAATTCACCTTTTATGAGTAGACAATGTCCATCGTTGAAACCTATAGCCAACATTGAATCGCCAAGTACATCTAATGCTGTGACCATTGAATGAACTCTTAAAGCGGATAATTGTGATATGGTTGAATTATGGCAACAAAGTTTTAATGTTCGAATACATTGGGCCAAAGGATTTACCGATGAAGAATTGCTGCCAGTTTCGGATGTTGATTGTTCAACATTCGATGATTGTGTTTTAACTGCCAATATGAAACCTTCATTAACCGTCCAAATTTTCAGAATTGGAATCAAATCTTCATTATCGGTTCCAATTGTAATCAGATAAAAATTTGATTTGATTGAAACTTTTGATGATCCAGTTGTTGATGTTGTTTTAATGCTAGCACAATGTGTAACAGCAATTTTATAAGCAGTAAATGATGAAATTGAATGTTGACGTGTGACAAAACTGATAAGACCAAGACTGTCACCAAGAATCAAATAACCTTGACCAGATGATGAACAAGTTATCTGACATGACTAGAGATATGATGGACATAAGTGAAAAAAATTAATTTTGAACCTCAAAAATAATATAATTTTGAAATACTTTGGCCAATTCAATCAATTGATCATTAGATTCGCTGAAAATTTCTTTTTCAAAAAAATTAAAACGCCTCCACTTTGAATATATGTAAAGAATACGAAAAAAAATTAAACATGACTCGAAAAAAAATTTATTCAAAGAATACCTGAAGGAATGCCATTGATAAGTGGATTTAAATATTATTATTAAAATGAAATTTGAAAAAAAAATTAAATAGACTCTCAATCAGTAAGAAGATTGATTCAACAAGAATCAGAAATCAAATGTTTTGTGTGTGTTTATTATTTTGATTTGATTCTGTTAACAGATGATGATTTTTGGCACCATTCATATATGATAGAATAAAATGCGCGGTATATTCAAAAATCGCCATCATCAAACATCACATAAACAAATTGAGAAATTGGAGACACGACACATCCATTCACATTGATTTATTCATTTTTATAGGGAAATTTTTGTTTATTCATTATGACAATTAATGTATATTAATAGATAGAGATTATTTGATTTCTTTGGATTTGGTGCATTTTTTGTAAGAAAAGAATTTTCAATAAAATACAATTTTCTCAATTTTTCTTTGGTTTCAAAACTTGAAAAGATGCATGACATTATCACAAACAAATTGGTTCAGTTTTAACAAATAAAATTGATGGAAACATTTATTTTTTTTGAAATTTTTACTTCTTTCATTTATTTTAAAATGATTATGACGATGATTATAACAGTGAGGGCGATGATGGTGATAATGATGATTATCCGCTATATTCATATTTATTGCTGATCAAATATTATTCTTCAATTATCCACGAACACCGAGAAATCCATCTCTATAAATACTGGACGCATCTTTTTTCTGATTCGGTACCAAATGAAATAAAGAACGAAGATCTCGTAAAGTAAATGGAAATCTACGACCACGAACACCAATGAAACCAGGTGGAATATCATCCTCTCTTTTTTTTAAATAATAATAAAAAGAAAATAACAAATGTTGATGTCATTAAAAATTTATTACCGTTTCTCTTTTTCGATCAATGTTTCGGCATTTGAATTCAATTGTGCCAACAATCTTCGTAACAATATTTTCCTCTGCATTTACCAAAAAAAAACTCATTGATTATTTGAACGAGAGAAAAATTATTTTATTTCTTGAAACTTACATTAAGTTTATCACGATATTCAGGATCTTTGACAATGGATTCTTGATACCAATCATTACCCAAATCGATTATCGGTGAATGAATCAATAGTCAATATATTATCATCATTTTGACCATTTATTTTCGATTTTTTTGCCGACATCAATTCATTTTGATCCATCGAATAGATCAATGATATGGCCGAGAAAATTAGCAAAATTTTCATCAACATTTTTTCAAATAATTTGATGGTGATAATTTTTCCAAGAAAAAAAGATCCCAAAAATATGAAGCGCAGAAAAGAGAATTTTGTTCTCTGTTTAAAATGAAAGTGGTTTTACGAATGAATAACAACAACGAATGAATCCGTGTTTTATTCTCTACTATGTGTTGTCTAATCCACAGGAAATGATTATTTTGAATACAATTAGAATCTTAATCCCAACTATACTACAAAATAAAAATAGATTTGACCATGCGCCAAGAGTTAAACATTTACAATGGAACAAGGAACGAAAAATGTCGTTGTTTATGGAAATTCGAAACCAACGAACAAACAAAACATAAAATGCTGATGATGATAAATAAAACTTTTACCGGACCAAAAAACAAACTACGTAAATTGAAATTTCAGAAAAAAATTGATAAACAAATGACCATCGAAGAAATGTCATTGTTTAATTAGATTAAAAGTGTCATTAGAACAATTGAAAATCCATCGTATTCATTATTCACAAGTCTGATAAAAAAAATCAATAATTAACCATACTAATTAGTATCAGACAATTATAAGATTTATTCTGTATCTTGAAAATTGAATTTCGAGAGATGCATGTTTCTTAACTATTGTGTTTTTGAATATCTTGCCAACAACAACAACAACAACAAAGACGACAACGATGACCAAAATGTTAATCCAATTACAAAACTATATCTCAAAAGGTAGCATAGGTACCTGGATAAAATTTATTATCAAAAAAAAAAAAAAAATCTTCAGTCATTTTTTTTTTTTCGAGCCATCTCTAACTTTGTATTAAATTAGATCAAGGATTTCCGATTCATTGGCGTATATGTGTTTAACGTAAGTTGAATGAGAAAAGTGGGTGGATGAATGGATGGAAAGAGCAAAATGAAAAAGAAAAGAAAAATCTGTTTTCAAAGTAATTTGATCCTTTACAATATTTTGATGGTTTTATCATCAGTGTAAAATTTATAATAATAATCCACCATCATTTCCTCTCATCATCACTTAATATAATCCTAATATTTTTGTTATTATGTAAAAAAAAAATTGCACCAAAAATTTTTTTAAAACGCCTTCGAATTTCTCATTTTGCATTTTAAATTTTTTTTTTAAATTTCAATTTAATTTTGAAAACCAAAAGATCTTCTATGAAATGAGAGAATAATCGAAATATAAACATTACACATATATTGATTGATAATATATTATCTCCTATAATATAAATGATCATTTGAAATGTAAATAAAAAATAAATGAATTTATCTCAAATCAACAACAACAACAACAACAAACAAAAGTCCAAATAATAATGAAAGGGTCAATATTTGTAATAATTTAAACATATTTTTGTCATTAACTTTTGTTATGACTAAAAATCAAACATTTGTTTTTATTTTATTTTTTTCATTTATTTCATTATAGATAACTCAGTTATCTATAATAAATGTAAACTATGGTTAAAAAAAAAAAAAAAAAAAAAAAAATGCCCACTGCTATATTTAATTTTCATTTAATTCTATTTCACAGCTTTAAACAATCATAATAATAATAATAAGCAATTGGAAAAACAAAATTAAAATACAAACATTAGATAATAAATGATATTATTACTTTTATACAATTTTAATCATTAACATTAACAGCATTTTTGTTTACCATTTACAATAATTAATATAGAAAAATAGAAAAAACAAAGAATAATAAAATAATAATAATAAAAAATTTAAATTTTATAAATTACAAACACAAAGCGCCATCTATCATCATCATAATTATTTTCCATATTTTATTTTAAGATTTTGACGAATAATAACACTACGAATTAATCGTCGCCAATTACCATAAATTCGTTTCTCTTTTGCCAATCGATCTTTAGTTTCTTGTTCTATTCGATATTTTTCATATGCATTCAATAGTTTATCTTTGTCCTGTTCGCATACAACATAACCACCACCACAAACAGGCCCAAAATTCACTCGATTAGGTTGTTTTTTGAATGCAAATCCAATGATAGCCGATGCACAATCAATATTCATTTGATTTGCTAATCGCATAAGATATGGTTTCGATTCCAATAGTACAGTACCTTTAGGTAGCATACATTTCTGATATAGATCAACATTACCATAAGCATTTCGAGGAACAATACCATTTGTGGCGACAGGTGGAATATATGGTTCCGTTTGCCAATAGCCAAATAGTTCCAATTCTTCACGGCCATATTCACTACCACCGCCATCAAAATCCATCATCATTGATGATGATTTTCGTTTTCTTTTCAAACGAGATTTTATAATTTTATATGATGTTTCATTCAATTTAACCGTACGTGCATCACGTAACCATCGTTCACGAGATTTTAATAGATGAACACAATCACGAGAATAGATTGGTTCATTATTGATAAAACCTAATGTTGATGGATTAGGTGGATAAAATGCTTGATATTGAAGTAGATCACGTTCCAATGCATACAATGGATGATCTTTATAATTGGTTCGATAACGAGGAAGCTCAGCATTTTCCAACATTTTATCGAATTCATTTTGATCCGCTTTCATTTCGGGTGAATTTTCTATACGTTGAAATCGTTGCATAGTTATTTGTAGCCATTGATCATCCACACGACTCTTAACACGATTTCGGCTATACCAAAGCGAACAATATCGTTGTGTAACATCGGCAATAAATCCACCATTATCTATAGCAAATACATATGATACGAACGTTATTAGCCGTTTTCTTTTTGTTGTGATTGCCAATGAATCATTGTAAATTTCATTGAAAAGGTCAAAACTTTTCCATTTATCATTTTCTAAAATTTCTAACCAATAACATTGTGATTCGGCAATTTTTGGAATATCACCTCCTAATATTGGTTCGGATTTGTTTTTTTCAAATTTACTTTTTGCTGTAAGCAAATTCATAGCCTTCACTGGTACTGGACACAATAGATAACAAAGACGAACTTTAAGTCCAACATGGCGAAGAAAGCTAATCATTATGAGATGTAAAATTAATGGACAGGTTATTTTATTCGATTCAAATGCTTTCATTAATTCTTTACGAATATTTTCGGTTGATTTTTTTCCTTTTTTGATCGATACATTGAAAATTTCATGGAACCATTCAATCATTTTTTCCATATTATTTGTTTTATTTTTTATTTTCAATTGTTGAAATAATTTCGATGATAGAATCAATGCTTGAACAAGATCATCTTGGATTATTGAATTTAGATATTGAATTCGATATATCGATAATAATAAATGTGTTTGATGTGCATATATTTGATTTCGTTTACGTTCATGATTCATATCAACACGAATACATTGACGAACCCAATCCCATTGTTTTGATTTATTTTTCTTTTGACGAAGACCATTTGGATTGCCAAATGATATCTGAATTTTATCCGGAATATCTGGATTATAATTTTCCAGATTAAAGTCATCACCATTTTTGTATACACCAATATCTTCAACTTCTTCCCAATCATCATCATCATTGTCATCGCCATCAGTATCATCATTGTCACCAATAGAAACATTTACGTTGATACTATCTTCATCATTATCATCTAATTTCTTTGTTGACGCGATTTTTTTCATTTTTGCTGGTGTGTTTTTCGAATCACTTTTTATTCGTCTTTTAACGGATTGAGATTTCGTTTTTAATGATTTTTTATCCGATTCAACATCAAAATCACTATCATTATTGATCATTTTTTCATCATCTTCTTCGGAACTAGATTCTTCAGGATCAAAATCACAATCTTTATCATTATCGATTTCATCATCAAAATCTTCAACAACAATTGATTTGATCAATTTTTTCTTCGATTTATTCACTGGAGTTTTGTTTTTTTTAACTTTACATTTATCAATCACATTATTATTTACAATATTCTTCAAACTAGATCGTGTTACAGGAGCCATCGTATTGCGTCAACAATTTCATTCATTCATTCCATCAATTAATTTGAGAAAAATTTGGAATTAAAAAACCGCGCAATGGGAGCGAGCAGCTCGATTTAATATTGATGATGATGATGATGATAGCAGCATGGCTATTAAATAAAAAGAGCATTTCATAAACACTAGGACCATGAAGAAATTCTTTCCATTTAAATAAATCATCAAAATGTAAGAGAAAATGAAACAAAAGATTTAATTTAATCATCATCATCATCTGAATGATGATGATTAACCATTTTATAATTACAAAATATATTTCAAATATAGAAATTATTGTTTAAATCAAACATATTTGTATTGATTGATTTTGAATGATGCAGAAAATTATACAGAAGACGATAAATCATCAGTGAACAAAAAAAATAAAATGTACAGATGTACAGATTTCAGTCAATTCTATACATATATAAGAAGAAAGTGAGAGAGAGAAATATGGAAAAAAAGATAGATAAATTGAAAATCAAAACATGAATATGATGACAATTTGAATTTTTTGTTTTTGTTTTGTTTGCACGAGCAATCAACACACCAAACACACACACACACACACACAAACCACTAAATTCTGGTTGACTTTAATATTAATATATAATAAAAATTTATGTATGTCTGTATGTTGTAGGTAGAAAATTGATTAGATCAATATATTAATGGAGAATTAGTGTAAATGAATTGACAGGTAGATTTGAATGAGAACACGAAAAAAAAATTAAAGATAGCAAAATAGTTATAAGACGGATGAGTGTGTTTGTGTATGATTATAATATATACTTTTTAAAAAAGGATTATTAGTTATACTAAGGTGAGTGTGTGTAGATGGAAAAAAAGAGGTGTCGTTTGGTTTGGTTCGAATTACAAAAAAAAAAAAAAATTCTGATTTAAATATCAGACGAAAGAAAAAAATATCAATCAGCATTGGCTGCAGCTAATCGTTTTGTTGATGACGATGATTGACCATTATAATGATTTAGATGATCATTCATTTCGATTGAAGAACGTTTTTTTGTTTTAGATGATTTACCATCTTGATTACTTGCACTACTACTATTGTTTGACTTTCGGCCATCTTTGGATTTTTGTTCTTTGTTCGACATTGAATCTCTTTTCATAGTCAATGTTTCTGATTTTTGTGGACTTGTATGTTCGATTGAATTATGATGAATTTTACTATTTCGTTTTGGTTTAAATTCCGTTATAACCACGGTAATATTATTGACCGTTACTTCTTCCACTTGTACATCATTTCGGTCCACATTCTTTAGCCTGGCTTTCGGTGGTACTGCCATAATTTTACCAATGTTGCTATTTTTTCGGCTTTTAATTTTATTGTTACTTGGTGGTTTTTCCTCTGAGACATTGTGATTGTTTGTATCAAATTCATTATCATTGTTGTTGTCATTATCATTATTTTCATCATTTTCATCATCAAAATTATTTGTCAATGATGAATGCCTTGATGATGAAGATGAAGTTGAAGGCATTTGAAATTTCGATGATGCGTTGGCAGTATTTTGGGATTGTTGTTTAATTGAATGACCTAATTTCAAAAATAGATAGAAAATATTTAAAAATCAATCAATATCAATATACATTGTTTATTTACAAATTTCATACCAAAAAATGATAATGAATTATTGGCAATCGTATTTATGGAACTTTGATTCGTTGATGATTCCAAACTATTTGAGCAATTCGAATTTGAATTGACTACTGGACTATTACGTCCACTACTACATGTACTGGCCACACTTGAATTACTATTTGTATCATCAATTCTTTTCAATGATGATGATGATAATGATGATCTATGTTCAGATGATTTACTATTACGATGATGAGGATGATGATGATCTTTAACAGCTGATTTTAATGCTTGTTGTTTAATCTGTTCCTGTTGTCGGGCCACCTGTTTGGCCACCATTTCAGGATTAATTCTTGGCTTTCTGGTTGATGTACCTTTACGTACATCACACATTGAACATTTAAATGCTTCAGCACTATTACGATAAGTACAAACGGAACAATCCCATGAATTGGAATCGTCCATGTTAATTGATATTATTTTTTCAACGTATAATTCGGTTTGTAATAAATCTCTATAATTTGAATGAAAATTTTCTTCTGTTATATCAAAATATGTCTTATCGGTATTTGTTTGTGTATATTATGATGTTTAGGTTTGTATTCACTTGTCATATGATGCTCAGAAATGATTTGCTCGTCTTCAGTTGGATTGTTGTTGTTGTTGTTGTTGTTGTTGATGATGATGATGATGATGTTGAATGAAGAAGGTATGTTTGTATGTCTATATGACGTGTTTGTTTCGGCAGTAGTTGATTTTTTTTTTGTTTCATTCAGTCATATAGAAGGAACAATGACGATGTGTATGGTGAATACAATACAAATTCGATTCGAAGGAGAAAACAATATGAATGAAAATGGTGAGACCAAATGGAAAACCAACAAAAAAGAGAGAAAGTATATATATTCCAATAGGATCAATCACATCAGATTGGTAATAAATAAAAAATTTTTACGTTGACCACTTACGAATGCTGTTGATTATATTATGATAATGATGGTGATTGATAAACAAATTCTTAATTCGCAAATATTCATGATGATGTTATCAACATTTTATATTAAATTCAAACGAATTTTGAAATCTTTACTTATCCGATTGTTGGAATGTTTTCATAGTTCATTTATTCAAAAGTCACCATTCTTGAGTTCGACAAGTCCATTGAGGTCTTCGTTTTTTTTTTGTTTTGTTTTCTCGTTATTGTGTGTGTGTGTGTGCGCGTCTATTTGATTGATGTGATGGTTGGTTGTGTTGTATACTGTACTGTACATATAACACATATATACAGGCAAAACAGAGCAAGCAAACAAGAAAATAGAAAAATGGAAAAAGAGAGAAACCAGATACAAATAGTCGCATCGGATAACAACAACAACAACAAAAACTTTCACTGCAGCGAATATTTGGTTCCAAATGGTACAAACACACTCACATACACAAAAACAGACAAACAAAAAAAAAAAAAATCCGAACAGTGCACTTTGTAAAACTCGGTATTAAAAACACACCGTATGTGGGAGAGAATGTGAGAGTTTGAAACCCGAATGTAGAAGAGGCAATGTTACAAATGAGCCAGAAATTGGTGTGGCAAATATGCTAGGGCCATTTAGAATTCATAGGAAAATTTTTTTTTTCGAATTTTCATTTTCTAGTTTTTTTTCGAATTTTTGCTCAATTTTTTCTTGTTATCAATTGAACAAATAGACACACACACACACACATAGTGGATATATTTGACAACGAAAACATCTTCGAAGAATGATTGGTCAAAAAAAAAAATAAGACAGAGAGAAATGTCGAAGACAACATACCATCAAAAAAAAAAAAAACTAGATCATCATCTCAATGAAGAAAAAAAAATGGTAGGTATTATAAAGTTCAGCCGGTCAAACCTGCATGCATAAAAAAATGACATGATTGAATTGGCTGTATAAAATGGTTGTGGTGGTGGTGGTGGTATATTCGTGAATTCTATTTGACCTAAGGTCGCGAACTAGGATTTTTTTTCTCGTGATCGTGTGTGTGTGTGTGTGTTTTGTATTCGTTTTCCTTGTATATATTTTTACACGCACAAACACAGAAACAAAAATATCCGTGGCCACCACTACTATACCATACCAACGACGACGACGACGACGAAGACAACATAGAATGTGATCGGCCATTATGATGTACACAAACAAGATATACACGCGCGCGCGTTTTTATTATCATTAGAAAAAAAAAGATTCGACAATCAATTAAAAAAAAAAATTGGACAACATGATGAATACAGTGAATCATCCATAGTTCATTTCATAATAATCGTAGTAAGACTGTATATATTATGGATTAATTGTTTTGATTGAAAGATTGAGCTGATGTATATATCAAATGGATTGTAATCAAATCACATGAATAATCATATATTGTCCACATTGTATATGATTGTTTGTTGTGTGTGTGTGTGTGTATGTTTGCATGAAAATCAATTATCAGCAACAGGCGGGCGTTTGGCAAAAAAAAATCAGAAAAACAAAAATGATATGATACTGATAAGAATGTGTTTGTTGTTGTTGTTGTTGTTATGACATTGTTGAAAATTATTCATTTTTTATCATCACCAGAAAAAAAATCGATCAATATGAGAAAAAAGAAACTATCCTAACAATAATAGGATAACAACAACAACAAAAATGAAAAAAAAGGTTGTTGATCGATTGATTAGGTTTCCATATTGGCGTAAAACAGTTACATTGTAATTGATAAGAGGATGACAATTATATAATTTCTGTGAATTTCTGTAATGTGGTTTCGTAATGGTTATCCGATAAAGATTCAAAAATCACAAAAAAAATGCAACATGAACATGGTCATCTATCTGTTAAAAAAAAATTCTATTCATTCGTCGTCACCGAAATATCATCGATTATTAAAGAAAACTATGTCTTGATACAGTAGTCATAAATGATGGTGTTGCCGGTGTTGATTGTGGCTGTCGCCTTTCAAAACGTATTGGAAAATGTGCTGATGATAGTAAAAAATTAAAACGTGGCTGACAATCACCAAAACGATCCAATGATTTCACACGATATCTTCGAAATATATTGATGAGAAACATTCGTTGTTGCATTAGACCATATTCTCTACCAAGACACATACGATGACCACCACTGAATGGTAGATAAGCCTGATGATTTACCCATTCAAATTCTGTTTCTTTACGGCAACGTAAAAATCTTTCTGGATAAAATTTTTTCGGTTCTCGAAAATATTCTGGATTCATATGCATATGCTGAATGAAAATAATGTAATTAATATTTCCAGGTAATGTAGTTTGTTCATTCAATTTGAATTCCGATCGTGATCGTCTTGCAATAAATGGACCAGATGGATATAGACGTAATGATTCAAGAATAACACTTTCCAAATATTTTAATTGTCTCATACTGAGCAATGTAATTGATTCTCCATTCAAATTTAGATCGGCAAGAAAATCATCAATTTCTTTGATTAATCGTTGCTGTTGTTCGGGATGATGACCCAACAGATAAAGTGCCCATGATAATGCACTGGTCGTTGTATCATGTCCTAAATGATGATTATACAATTATTAATTCGATCAATAGAATAACATATTAAACATATCACAAACATACCCGCTACGACAAATGTATTGATTTGTGTTTCAATTTGATTTAGTTTCAGAATTCGATCAGGATTCATCGAAGAAATTCGTGATTCAATCATTGAATCCAGTAATGATAATTGTTTTCGTGATTTTTGTTCAAATTTTTTCATTTTAAAACGATCCAATATTATCTAAATGAAAGTAAAGAGATGATAATAGAGTGACAATGGTTATTAGGATATATAATTATAATTACCTTTCGAACTGAATATTGAAAATTGTTAACATAGTTCATGGTTTTTAGAAAAATAGCCAAATTACAAAGATATACGAGAATGCTTTTATTGAAATAATATGACCATGGCTGTAAGAATGGTATGTAGCTTAATTCCAACATTCGATTCACCGAACGAACAAATTTCGGTTCAACACCAGTTGATTGTGAATGAAATTTTGTACTGAATAGATTTTCTAATTTGAATATTAAATTAAAATGATGATAATCAATAATAAATTAATTAAAATAAAATTTTATATACTTACCACCAAGAACATCTAAAACGAATGTTGATAGAATCGGTTTTATATCATCAATTTGACCATTTTTATTCATATCATCAATAACGGCATCTATACGTTCATTCAATGTCGCTAGATGTCGTTCCGTGTTGGCAATATAACGTTGTAAAGCTTTAAATTTTAAATGGTTTTGTATTTCACGTTTCTGGTGAAGCCATTTTTCTGTTTTGCTATATTGAAAATTAGCAAAAATGATCATCATGATATTAAAGTGAATAATGATTAATTGTTTTTATTATTACCTGGTGAAAACACCATCCTTTTATTGCATAACGAAATAATGAATAAAATGTTGCCTTGTCAAGATGATCTTTACTATTTAGAATTTTTTGTGCAATATTAGCATTGGTTATTATTATGATTGGCACAAATGGTCCAAACCAAAGACGAATCAAACCGATACGATTATTTGGATCATATTGTTCACAAATATCATTCATTAGATTAATAAATGCTTTAGATTGTAAACCGATTGGTTGATTTCGTAATATTCCTGTCAATAGATTAATGTTTCCCCATAATGGAAAATTAATTTTTGGACCAGGTATAGTTTTGATTATTAAATATAAACGATGTTGATTGATTAGCCATTGAATAATTTGAATAAAACTATGTATAATGAACACTAATAAAAAGAATATGACAATTAAAATCATTTTTGTTTTGTTTTGTTTTGTTTCACTTGTGTTTGTTTATCAATAATAAATGACGATGAATGAGAAAAAGAAAGAGAGCAAAACAACAACAACAAAAAAAATAAATTTCACACACACACACACACACACACACACGATTTTTGTGAATCAATTCTGAATGAATTTTTTTTTTGCTGGCCACAAATTTTTATTTATACCACCATTTCCAGGAATCATACGATTCAATTTTTTTTCTTCACTGTTCATCATTATTATCTTCAAAATCAAAAAAAAAAAAAAAAAAAACTTTATTTATTACTTCACACAATGTGAACATGATCTACAAGAAAAATAATGTATACGGTATCTGTTACTATTTTTTTTTTTTTGCACAAAAAAAAAAATATGTGAGGCTACAGTGAAGAAGCCACAACCATTTTTTTTTCGATAATCGATGATCGACGATTTAATTGTCATTTAGTATCAGAAGCGCCACTAATCATCATTATCATTTAATATTTTTTGGATTCGATTTATATTTTGTTTATTTCTTATTTGATTGTATTGAATGAAATAAACAAAAAAAAAAAAAATCATATATCCTGTTTATGTGTATTCAAATCAAGAAAAAAAAATACACATCTCATGTTCTAATCATTATCTAACTAACTAACTAACTGTTGCCATCACAACATTCGAATCGAATTATTCGACGGTTTTTATTTTTGACCACATTTATTTGCATATGCGTATATATTATATTGATGATTATCATTGTTATCATGGGTTCCAATTTTGATGCGTCATGCAAATTTTTTTTTTTTTTTTTTTGATTAAATTTTTGAATTTTTATTTTCAAGCAAAAAAAAAAAAAGAAAAAGATAAACAAAAAAAACTACTCACATGATCGAACACAACAGATTCATTCATTCATTACTAATTGATCGATAATAAAATCAATCAATTTACAAAGTGAAGAAAAATGAAGAAAAAAAATGAATCTGTGAATGAATATCGATAATAACATAACAATGCAAAAAAAGGGGTGATTATTGCATTGCATGTGTATATTTATTACCCTATTAATATTGGAAAACAATATTACTTATTTTGGTTTTTTTCTTTGGTCTCCATATCTGGTTGTTTCCGATTTTCTTTTTTTCTTCATAGCTAAATATCAATATCACATTTTTTTATTATTATTGAATAACAAAATCGATATCATAAATATATTGATTATCATGATTTGAATTTATATTGAATTATATTATATGTGTAATTTGTAATTTTTGTTTTTAGTTTTAGCTTTTTTTTTAATGATAATAATCATGAATGTAAAACGAATTGATTGATTGATTGATTGAGAAAACCCTAACAACGGGTACATTGATATTTGATTGCAATTTCATTCAATTGTTTTTTTGTTCATAATATTTGTGTACGAAAAGGGTCGATTCAAAGTCGGACAAATTATCTGATAAATAATAAATAATAAACAGAAAAAAAACGTGATCAATCGTGATTGAACGAATCTGATTACTGTTTTTATTTGAATAACGATAACAATGATGAAGTAATTTCAATGATGATTACAAATCATCATTGTATATATATATATCAAATGGCATAATATATAATGTTTATTAGAGCTGATAAAAGCGTGCCAACAATAATTGATATGAAAAAAAATAATAATAAATTTAAAGTATCAATTTGATGTGTCAGAGACATTTTTCCATGAAAAAAAAAAAAAACAATACAATAATAATGTTGGGGAAAAAAAAGTAATGAAACAAGGTGGACAAAATTTAGGTGAGATTATGTCATGATTGATTAATTGTTACATCATCATCATCATCATCATCATTTCAACTCTTTTTTTTTGCCAGGAAATTCTTCAGAATTATCGGATTTCCGTTCATATTGTATCACATGATAATAATAATGGTATATATACCGATTGATATTCTTTTTCATCATATCTTCTCATTTGTTATAAATGGAATTTCCTAATTGTGATTAGATCTTTTTCTTTGTTAGATGCTCACACACACACACACACCAATACTTTGACAATAGATTAAAAAAAACCTACAAATAAATGGATTTAATATATTTATTAATATCTAATCCAGTGGAAGAAAATTTACTTTATAACGATGATGAAGATGGATGAAGAAGCCATTTGTTTTCTTGTTTGAATCGAAAAACATTTGTGATTTCATTGAAATGTCAGACATTCGATAGGTTCATAATATGCACTTAAAGGTCAATTCAGTACATGGCAAATGTCAATAATAATCAAAAAAAAAAAAAAATGAATTGTCATTTCAAATGAATCATATAATAATAATTTAAATAATACAAAAAGAAATACACAACTATGAAACTATTATTTGCAGACGGAAGTAACTTAAACGTTACTTGAATTTCATTCCAAAACATAATGAAAAGATGAAAGATTTTGATTTTTTTTTTTTTTTTTGATGCTACTGAAAATGAATTAATGACGCCATTCATATCACAATTAGACACATAGACAAACACATATACACACATAATATTCGATATCGCAAATCGTTTGAATGATTAAATTGCTAAAACATTCATATTCAATTCATGTGGTTGTGTATTATAGGGTTTGATTCAATGTACAAATGAAAAAAAAAATATCACAACATCATCAATATTTTTCAATATTAATATGGTATATACTGTGAAAAAAAACTATATTGTCATCAATTTTTCTGAGAAATTTCAAATTTTTTTATATATCAATTTTTATTGATTTTTTAACATACAAAAGCCAATTCATCAATTTTTCTACACTCAATCTTATACTGATTGAATTGTGAACAGACCTATAATGAAATGATTGACAAATTATGATGTTGGCTGAAATTCATTAATCAAAAAAAAAACAGCATCTAAATGTTGAATGTTGAATATTCAAAATTCAGCTGTCAATAATTGGAAAAAAAAAAAATTCAAAGATAAAAAATGAAATTCTTTCATGGTGACAAATAATGATAGCCTTCAAGAGGTTTTTACATTCTATTCATTTTCACCTTGACCTATCTCCAAATAAATACCAAAAAGATTTAAATCAGAGTCGTCGTTTTGTTTTTTTTTCATAATCATAGAATGGTCATGGATTTGTTGGATTCGAATTTTTTTGGCACTGTATATGTTTATAGTGAAAACATGAATGACGAAATAGAAATAAATTCATGAATTATGAAAATTCTCATCACCATTCATATTATCAAGGGCGTATTCAGGATTTGAGTGGCTATTTGTATAAAAAAAAAAAAATAAATAGACAAATCAAAAAAGAAGTGACATTATTTATTAACAATAATATTCAGATCAACCAAGCGAATACACATACTGCTGCTGCTGCTGCTGCAAAGGAAATGAAACAAAGACCAGAGAAAATAATTATTGACGCCCAAGATTATTATTGTTGTTGTTGTTTCTGCTGTTGCTGTTGTTGTTGTTTGTTGTTGTTTTGTTCAGTTACATTGGAACAAAGTTGGATTTTGAAACGAAAGAAATAGAGTGAAGAACAAATTTGAATTTAGTAGTAAACACACACACACACACAAAACTATTTCGGTATAAAAAATAAACCACGAAAAAATAAATCGAGACATAATGGCAAATCGATAAGATGAGCGTTGTTGTTGTTGTTGGTTTTGCTCGTTTGGCCTCAAGGGGCTTGAAAGAATTTTGTTGATTATCATCTACGTCGTTGTTTATTGGCAATTGGTTTAGCACGCTAAACGGCATGACAATTTTCTTCTTGAATACTCGGTCTATGCATTCTTTGTTTCTGAGAAAGATAATAAAGAGCACACAATTTGCCTGATGTCGATGATGATGGTGTTTTTGAACCAGGGTTAAAACGTTCGACTATGTCCATGTTTGATTGTTGTCGATCGGTCCAAATGTGATATTCAGCGCATTGATAATGTTTCTGACACTTTCAGCATTCGGTGTTGTCGGATGATCACGCAAATTTGGCATAGCATCAGGAATTTTTCTTGTGGACTTTGCTTCTTGTGGCAATCTCGAATAGCGAGAGAAAAAATTTCCTGCTGCCGCATTAGTGATGGAAATCGGGTCCATGCAATATTGTTGTTCGATTTCTTCAGGTAGTTAAACAAAATCCAGTGTTTGAGTCATGACTTATATGCATGTCGTCGTCCTTTGTGTGCGTGTGAACGGTGTGTAGTGTGAGTGGTATGTGTGTGTGGAGGCCGCATACTATTCCAAAAAAGAAGTGACATTATTTATTAACAATAATATTCAGATCAACCAAGCGAATACACATAGCTGCAAAGGTAAACAACAAGACAGAGAACAATCATTGACATTATTGTTGTTGTTTGTTGCTGTTGTTGTTGTTGTTATTATTGTCGCCAGTTACATTGGAACACACACACACACACAAAACGGTAGATGAATTACCCGAATGAATGAATGAATGAACACAACACACCACAAATATACACGGAAATACAGTATATGCTGTTAACCACAATATATATGGACATTCAAAATTATAAAGATGGTTATATTATATTATTATGGTCATATATGATAATGATGTCGACTGTAAACGTCAACTGTTGACCAAACAACAACGACACACAACAACAATAATATAAAAATAATAATCATCGTCATCATTGATTGTTGTCGTCATTTGGTTATTGTTAAATAGATGAAAAGTCTTTTTTTTCATTTCTTCATTCAAAATCATCGTGAATGTATTATAAATTTTTTTTGTTGTTGTTGTTGTTGTGTTTCTGATGTGTCCCAGATGTAGTGTTCGCGAATACAAAAAAAAAAAACAACAACAACAACAACAACATCGTCGTATAACTCCAATGATCCATGATGATGATGATGATTAGTTATTCAACATTGCTCATTGATGAATGATGAATATGTCTTATTCACTTTTTTCTTCATTGATTTCTATATTATTAATCCATTGATTTGTATTCCAAATGATGATGATGGAATTTAATCCAGATGACGAAGCAATCTGTGCCAAGAGATTCTTGTTTTTGTTCAACATAATATTCTGGGTAATTTTGTTGATTTATCATTCGAATATCATATCATTATTTTATTTTTGTTTTTTGTTTTGCATTTAAATTGATACAGATTTCTAGTATAATCATATTCATTTTTGGTGTTTATTATCTTGTACAAGATGAATTGGCATCATTGTTTTTATTATTTTTTGCACCAAGAAATAATTTGGCCCTTTTACAATTGCTTGCATGGATTCTTGTCTTTCTTGGAACGTTAACATTTTTGATGGCTTTATGTGGTTGTTTCACTGCTATGGAAAACAATCGATGTTTATTGTTCATTGTAAGTTGTTTTCGTTGTTTATTTTCGACACTAGAATTAAAAATGAAAAAAATTTTTAAATTTTTAATCACTTTGTAGTACACATTTTTATTGATGCTTACATTTTCATTGGAAATGACCATTGGTATGTTGGCCGTTATATTCAAGGAAAGAATTTTTTCTAGACAATCAACCATTGATTTTGTGCTACTTTTACAAAATGAATATGGTATTCATTCATCATTTACAGCAGCTGTAGATTTAGCACAAACAAAAGTTAGTTTCCAAATTTTCAATTTTCGTTTTTTTTTTGTTTTAATTTTGTTAAATTTTTCTTATAAAATTATAGTTTGAATGTTGTGGTATTGAATCACCAGCCGATTATCAACATTCACGATGGTTACAAAAACAGATTGAAAATCGATTACCTGATGGTATACTTATTGTAAGTCGTACATGTTGTAAGCTTGCCAATCGTATGGAAAAAAATTCACATCTTAATCCTAAGCCTATTAATGAAACAATGTGCCAATCAGATAATGATGATGAAAATCGACCATTTCGAAATCAGAAGGTAATTAATTATCATATCGTGTTATGTTATATTTATTTATATTCACTTTATATAAATAATGATGATTGATTGATTTCAAAACAGGGATGTATGCAACTTGTTGATGAATTCATACGTTCTGAATGTAAAATGTTTATCGGATTAGGTGTTGGTTTGGCTGGATTTTCGGTAATTTAATTTGCAAATTATTTCATTCAATTAATTTATTTCTATTTTCTATTTTCTATTTTTTTCATTACACTATTTCAAGTTTATCGGTATATTGGCCAGTATTTGTTTTTGTCGTTCAGTACATTCAACACCAAGACTAAAAAGAACAAGAAAAACTCCTATTACTCGTGGACATGGTTTTCATTGATGAACGAATAGAATTAATGTAAAATATGATGATGGTGATATATATTGTATTTTAAAAAAAAAAAACGATGTATAATGAAAATTTCCTGTTCAGAAAATTATTGTTTATATAAAATAAGTGCACATCAGGCAACAAGGTTATTTTTGTAAATACCAAAACAAAAAACAAAAACAAAATTGATAACCCATTCATGTATTCAATTTATATTTTTATATTGTATACATATTTCGAATAATATAAAAAAAAATCGAATTGATTGTAAAATATAATCGATCACCAGAGATTAAAAATTTGATTGATTATTCAAAAAAAAAAAAAAAAAAAATGATTAAAACACGTTATCATCGAAATGATAGTTGAGTGCATTTTTTCTAAAAAAAAACAAACTCTGTTTATTATCATTGTTTATTTATATTGTCACATTTTGGCCACACTAAAATAGAAAAAAAAGACCGAATGTTATTTTATCCATAACGAAATGTGTTCAAACTGCTGTGTTTTGATCTAGAATTACAAACACCATTCATCACTATTTATTATTATTACTACCACCACACCCCATTCATTCATCAGCATTGGTGAAAAAGCTTATTCGAACAAAATCATTGAGTCCAGATTGATCATTGATAATGGTGTAAAAACATTGCAATAAATTTGAACATTTATCCATTAATCTATTATATTGTTCTAACAAACGGTAAACACGATGTGCATATGTCATTGATGATAATGATGAACGGCGATTTTTGGTTACCGAATCTGTGGAAGATTCAAATTGTTGCATACGAGTTGATAAAGATTTTCGCATCTTATAAATAACATATTTTATCCAGATACAATTAGTTTTTGGATAAAATTTTTGCCATTCATTTTGAATAACTTGTGACATTTGATCATAAATCATATCCTGCATACGTATTGGACATTTTTCATTAGCACGACGACATTTTTTTTCCTCAAAATTTTCAAACAAACATGTCATGTCTTTGAAGTAAATTATGTTATCTATGGTTAAATAAATTGAAAATTTAAAAAAAATGACTAATAGATGAACCATTTACCATATTTTAGACGAGAAAAAGTGGTATCAATGATCTTTACCAAAAAGCCATAGCTAGGAATAGATATCACTTTATTATCATATGTGAATGGAATTGAATGCTGTTGAAAGGGCTGCAATAAAATATTGCCCGAATGTAGATCACGATGTTCGAATTCAAAAACTTGTTCTGCAATCATTAGACCTACGATAATTTGTTTCAATATCGATAACATTGCATATGGGTGAAGATCATCGATGAGATCGATCATTAATTGACCACAATCTTCCATGACCATCAGAAGATTCTCTCTGGAAACATTTATTCCAAAATGTTCAATTGGATCAATTGAATATTGACATTCAATTTCGGAAAATGTTTGGTAACTTTTTTTATGATTAAAAGAAATATCTTTGGATAGGAATTTGGAGAATATTTGAGGAAATATTGAACAACGGTAAGAACGATTTTTGATAACCAGATTCTGTAATTGTGATAATGCATCAGAAATTTTACATTCTTGATAGGCATCTGAATAGCTTGTATGTCGGGATATAGTAGACGATTGAATTCGTTTCAATATTTCATCCGGTAGTAAACGTATCATTTTCAATACAAATTCACCATTTGCTTTCGAACGAAACACATCAGCATACGAACCGGAACCAACAAATGATAATTCAACAAATTTTGGACGATCAACTCTTGTCACATCCAAAATTTTCGATCGTCCTTGATCGTTTTCAAGGAAAAGTTTATACTAAGTTTATCGATATTGAACATTATAACAAAATAGATGAATTAACATTTAAAATATAACTTACCAATTTGGTGAAAAAACGTGAATCCTTTAATCGATTACGATCGTTTCGAATCATTTTGGCCACAAAATTAAAGAACCAAAAAAATTAACGAAAAAAATAACGAAACATTTGGTGCTATTTATAAAAAGGAAGTATATACTTGGTTCCATTTTTTTTAGTGTTGAAATTAAATCAATTTTGAATTTAATTGCAATTGTTGCAATACACTGTCGTCTTATAATGAAATGTAGAACATAAATTTGCCGCCATATAGATATGTGAATGTCTTTTGACAGATGGAAAAGAAAAAATTATTTCCGAAAAGAATAAAATAAAAAAAATAAGTTATCAAATGTGAATCAATATTTTATTCGACCACGTTGTCTATGAATGGATTGTATTGCATAATAGTGTCACTGATACATGCATGCATGCATTATAGATCCATGCCACACACACATGTTTGCACTTAAAGCAGTGTCAACAAATAATAAAAATCGATTTTCAAAAAAAAAAAAAATAAATAAACAAAGTGGCATCGAATTTTACCAGAAATTTGCACTAAATGGTTTTATTTTATTTTATTAAATAAATGGGAAAATTCGGCAAAGATAAACGTGACATCTATTATCGTTTGGCCAAGGAAGAAGGTTATCGAGCACGATCAGCTTTCAAGCTACTTCAAATTGATGATCAATTTCATATATTGAACGGTGTCAAACGTTGTGTGGATCTTTGTGCTGCACCCGGTAGTTGGTCACAAGTTTTGGCTCGTCGTCTTCTTGTATCCGACGATAAAAATGACAACAAAGAATGTTGCAAAATTGTAGCCGTCGATCTACAAGCTATGGCTCCAATACCGGGTGTCATACAGCTCCAAGGTGATATAACCAATCATTCTACAGCCACAGCCATTATCGATCATTTCGATGGAATAGCTGCGGATCTGGTTGTTTGTGATGGTGCTCCAGATGTTACTGGATTGCATGATATCGATACATACATTCAAGCTGAACTTTTATTAGCAGGCGTCAATATTACCACACATATATTGAAACCGGGTGGAACATTTGTGGCTAAAATCTTTCGTGGTAAAGATGTTGAACTATTGTATTCACAATTGAAGATTTTTTTTGATGAAGTAATCATTTCGAAACCACGCAGTAGTCGAACATCATCGATTGAAGCTTTTGCTGTTTGCCGTGGCTATAATCCACCTAATCAATATGAACCTACAATGTTCAATACATTGATGGAAGGCGAATGTCAAAAATATTTCGAACAATTGGATGAAAATAAATTCCACGTGAATCGAACTATCATTCCATTTATGGCTTGTGGCGATCTATCCGGATTCGATTCGGATACGACTTATTCATTGAATATTGACAATCAAAAAGATTATAAATATCACGAACCAAATCAAAAACCAATAGATCCACCATATAAAGTAGCTGTTCAATTGAGAAAAGCAAACGCTTTAGATAAACCAATGGATTTTAAATCTGATAGCATCGATACATGATGATGTAATTTAATTTAATAAATATTGATCATTAATAAATTTCATTTTTCAAATATATGAGCAATATTATCATCATCATCGTTGTAAAATCAAATGTATCAAATGATGAATATCTAATTTGATGACGATTGTAATTAAATGGATCATGGAAATAAGGATCATTTTGAAAATAGTGGGCAGGAAAAATGCCGCTCGAATGTTTGCATAATTTACGAGAAGGATTATCATCATTATCATTATTAGTATTGGCGTCCATTTCAAATGAAATCGTTTCATGGTCCGGTGTTGTAAGATTGAATTGAGATAAATTATCTTCCGACGATATGATTGAGTAATCATTCGATGAATGAAGGTCTAATTCGGTCTCGTTCACATGAATGTATTTGCCTTGAAAATTTAAATCATTTGAATTCAGATTGGCTGATTTTTCTTCCACTCGCTCAATTGTGGTTGTAAGACGGGGAATTTGTTGACCAGTCGCTCTTACGGTCGGTGAATGTAGAAATGGCGATTCATTCATAGGTTCATCATACGTTTCCGTGAGAAATTCATCCACATAATTAAGTTGCTTGTTTTTATTTATTTTGTCACCATGTTTACGACGTTCATTAATGCGAACGGATTTTTTATTTGCGAATATACCTGGATTCCATCCCAGCTGAATGTCGTCATCATCTAGTATTTTATTCGGGCCAAAAATTTCAAGTCTTGGTTCCAAGGTTAATCGCGAATTGAATGGCTGATCAGTGAATGTATATTTCACATGACGACGATTTTCGAAACATTTTTGTTGAAAGTTTTTTCCATCACATTTCAAATGTGCCAAACGATTATGACGTTTTAAATGAGGAAGATGTTGTGGCCTATCGGCGGATGATCTTTTCTGTCTTTGATTGCTTGATGGTTGTGGACAACGTTGCAATCGACGGCCAACAAGATAATCAAAATCTTTACGAAACCAATTTTTTGACATGATGATTTCATAAATTATTATCAATCAATGATCAATGATGCAATTTCACACACACACACACACACACACACACACACAATAATCACAGGATATGAGCACTATGTGTGTGTGTGTGTGTGACACAAAATCAACAACACAAGTTATTTTTTGTTAAAATAGTGGAAAACAATATAAATTTTTTTTATTTATTTATTTCGTATTTTGAATTCCGAAATGAAAATGAATCTTTCGAAGAAAGCGGAGAAAAAATTTAAAATAAAAAGAAAAAAAAGTGAATGAATATTAACCCAGAAGAAGAAGAAGAAGAAATAATCAATCAAAGAGAATTCTTAATTAATAATAATGATCAGTAATAAGAATATAATAATTATTAGAATCAAATTGAATAACAAACAAAACTAGATAGGTCAAATCATTTTGTCGTTGTTTTTTTTTCATGTTTTCAGCTTATGTATTGTTATGTGTGATATTATTTAGCAAAACTAAAATTTACAAAAAAAAAAAAGAGATTATAAAGGAAATCGATCGATTCCATTCGTTCGAAATGTACAATGCCAGAAATTTATATATCATATCATTTGTGTATAAGTGTATTATTCATGTTTTTTTAAACATATAAGATCCAATTATAACGATCAGTGAATTTTGAATTATTTATAAAGAAAAAAAAATGTAGTAGGAGAGTGAAAAAGGAAAAAAAGGTGATGGTTCACACAGACTGGATGGTATTCCATTCATTTGGGTGAAGAAAGATGGTGCATGAATTCCAGTTTAACATAAACAAACAAACACACACATACACAGGTTCACAAACACGTACATAAAAATAGGTTGATAAAATAAAATTGCCTTGAGATTATTTTGTTATCAGAATAAATCTCTATTTTTGAATAGTTAAGAATTCTTTCTGTTTAATAATCGACGATATTTAATGTGCATCTGCGATGTGTGTGATTTAGATTGATTCTTTTTTACCGGATTTTTCTTCTTCTTCGAAATTTATCCAGCTCTGTTCAACGATCGCTGCTACACGTTTTTCATATTCACGACGATTCTCTTGATAAAGCTGAGCAGCCAATGAATTTGCAGGTGAATTAGGATTCGGTTCATCCAATAATGATTGGATCGATGTTAATATGGCCGATACATCATACGTGGGGCTCCAACGATTTTGCAATATATCAAGACATATACTTCCATCAGCATAAACATTTGGATGAAACATTTTCGATATAAATCGAACGGTTGGTGGTTTATTCGGATATTCTTCAGTGAATTCTAGCGTCAATTTGAATGTACCATCTTCGAATGGTGTATCACGTGGTCCAAATATGACTGCATTCCATAACATTATATTGTTATCAGTTGGTGCACCGCTAACACCAGCAGGTGGATCCTCTTGGAGACGTTTAAAGTCTCGCATTAAACGACGACGAGCCGGAGTAGACATCACAGATCAACTATGATTTGTCAACAAGAAAATTTAAATTTCAATCAATTTTTCATTTATATAGTTCAACAATACAATGTACTTACGGGCAAATCCTTAGAACTAGTTGAGTCAAAAATATGATTTTTAATTTTTCTTTAATTTTATTTACAATTAATAATCGAAACAATTTGTGGTAATAATAATGAAGATTGTTGTGATGAATGAATTTTTTTAAAATAAAAAAAATGATGATAATAACGCTATATAGGTTTTTGTTTCTAATAATTGCCTTCACAAAGGGGTTCTATATTCTTATATAAATAAATAAACACAAATGACAAAAAAAAATTGGCAATGAACAAAAAAATGTGTTGTAATCAATATATGAAATCTTACGATTCTGCTTTCTTTCTTTTACACTTCGCCGTCTTGTTCTTCCGTGAAGGCAAAATGAAAAAAAAAATTCTACTACGTATATAGAATTAAAAAATAAAGACAGAATTCAACACAGGGTATGTATAAAAGAGCAAAAAAAAAAAAATCGAACGATGATGTTGAAATTAATAACAAAACAAGAATATGATAACGAGATGAAAAAAATGACGAAATTTATCTATTTGAGACCAGAAAAGAATCACATCTGAATGGGTAATTGTTACGCCTCATATGTGCTAAGGCGTATGAATAGTAATGTAACAAAAAAAAATCAAATAAATGGACAAATGGCGAATAAAATTTGACTATACTTTCAGGAAAATAATGAATTCTGGATGAATGAAAATAAAAATCAATTTGTGATTAAATTATTGATGATGATGATGATTATTGTTGTTGAATATTTAGGTGAATGAATTTTTTTTCTTTGTTTTGTTTTGTTTTGCATGTATGCGATGTGTGTATTCGTTTTGAAGAGTCGATAAGGACGCCAGTGGTAAACAAAAAATTATTGTTGATGTTTTATGTTATGTTATATGTTATTATTTTGTTTTTGTCGTCGTCGTTACAGGCGTATTACGATTGTTCAAAGCTCCAAGAAAAATAAAAAGAAACAAGCTTTTTGCTCACAAATAGCAAAACATTCAATATTCAGTGAGTCAGTTATGTTGTCCTCGGTCCTTTCAATATTTATTATTCGACAAAATAAACGATGCGATTCTCAATCCTGTCTGTCTGTGTGTGTGTGTGGTAGACGTATACGTAGAGGATTATGGCTATGACCGAAGAAGGACAACTTTTTGTTTATTAGTCTGCATTTGGTTGGTTTTTTTTATCGTAATCACACTAATATCGATAAATTCGACCATCACTTGAGTGAGAATTTCACAATTTTTAATTCCTAGATGGCAACACTCGTAAGATAAAATGAATAGAATCTAATATATTGAAAGCAGTGATTATCAAATTATTCGATCGTCGATTTTTAAGTTTTAAAAATAAAATTTCAAAAAAAACATGAATTTTTTTTTTGAATCACATATGAACAATTTTTTTTATTATGAACAATATATAAGTGGAAAACATATAAAAGAATCGTAATGTATGAATACAGAATATGGGAGAGTGATAATAATTATTTAAATTTTTATGTTCTTGTTATAGTTTGTTCGGCCAAATTCTGATTATTCGTTCCAATATCTTGACTAGAATATTCGGATGCCTCTTTTAATTTTAGTAACATTTGTAACTAAGAAAGAAAAACAATTTTATGAATTGAAATTTGATGAATTTTTTTTTAACAACTTACAAATGGATCCTTTATATCTTTGACTGATGATTTATTGAATTGTTCTGAAACCAATCCGTTAGATGAACATTGATTATTATCATTGGTATGATAATTATTGTTTGATGAGGATGGCCGACTATTCGTAATCAATGTTTTCTGATTCATTGAAGGTGGTGGAAGCTGATGATGTTGTTGTTTATCGTCTTCAACATCTTCTGGTCGTAATCTATTCAAATGGTCTGACCATTCGGAATTAGAACTCCATGGATAATTGGTAACAATCCAATCGGTAGGATCAATGAAACTGTGGATTGCAATTTTTCCTTTTAATTTTCCATCATTTTGTCGAACATGTTCACGAAGATTTTCAATAATAAAAGGAAGAATAGAATAATTCCACAGATCAGTGAACCAAGCTTGAGATCCATTCAAATCGATCGGACATGAGGTGAATAGACGTGAACCTTTAAAAATGATATGACATGTAATATATATAATGAATTTAAGATACAAAAAATATAGCACAAAATTTACCGATAGATATATTTTCACCGAAATAATTCTCCAAAAATTTATTCAAATGCGAATAAACTTTGGGAATCCATTCGATGATTTGGACAACTTCAGGCTGAATTTTTTGTTGGCTTAATGCTAACCGTGATTCAGTTTCCAAAAGTTTACGACGTAAAAAACGATTTAAGTAGCCTCGAACCGCTTCAGAATTGACAGACAACATTATCCAATGAAAATTGTGTCGTTGAAACATGGGCATCGTTTGATGGTGATGAACACTTTGGTTTATGGTACCAATTATATAAGGGCTATATGAAAACAAAACAAAATTATCGATGGATCAAAAAGTAATAAATATGATTTACCTTTTCGCGATCGAAATCTTATCAAGATCATTAAATATGTCCTCCAATGAATCGATTGAATGATGAAGGTTATCCAGAATAATCACAGTGGGCAATGGTGTTAGAGCTACTTCCAATTGACATTGTTCTGCAATGTTGGTCAAATAGGCACGAAGTTCTTTAGCATTTTTATGGTCGACATTGAAAGTTGTAATGGCACCGGATGGTGGAACACAATTAGCTCCACCAATGTTTGGTACGGCTCGGGAATATATTGCCACTGATGAAGAATCCATCTGTTTAATAGCCATATATTCAGCCAATTTATGTGCCAAATAAGTTTTGCCTGTTCCACTAGGACCAGAAAATATTAGACGACGATTTTCAATGAGCATCGAAATAAATTCATTAAGTACTGATTTCGGTGTCAAAGTATCGAACGCCAATGAATCAATAGTTGTTTTGAATTGAAGATTTATATGATTTTCATTCACCAAATAACCAAAAGGAAGTAATTCTGGAACAGTTGGTTTGTGATGGTGATTAAATGGATAAAAATTTCTAAGAATTTTTTCTGTACCAACACGATAACAAGCCAACGAATCAACAGTAATACCCAAAGCCAATGAACTATCCACACGAATCAAATGATCTTTGAAACACTTTTTGATCAATGTGTCTAGTTGATCCCAATTTGTTTTGGTTGTAATAGTCAATGTGGCTAATGTATGTGATCCTGATCCTAATGTAACTAATTTGGGACTTTCATCATTAGAATTCGTAGTGTTGGATGAATGCAATGGACTCATATCCATATCGACACTTTCAAAACTATTCGAATCTTCCATTGGAGCAACCAGTCCACTATTACCCAAAGTAATTGCGGATGGTGGCAATGTACTGGAACCATGTGAACCTATTGCTGAAGTCATCGAGCTTTGTGATGATGCTAACGATTTATGATGGACAAGACGTTGAAGACGATCATTATCTTGTTTTAAATTCATCATTTCGGCTCGCATCTGATTGACTATTTCTTTAAGATTTTCCAGTTGATGTGCTGATGTAAGAGATTCCAAACGCATATCAGTCAATTGCATTTCTTTTTCACGCAATTGTTTTCGCAAATCTTTCATCTCTTCAAGATCTGATGTTTCAGCCATAGTATCTGATTCAAAAGCTTTTGATTCAGATAATGATTGAGGATGATTGGTCGATCTTGAAGCATTTCGATCATTATACATATTAACACCAGCAGATTTTGCACGACTTCGTATCGACATCAATGGTGAACTGGGTACAGAATGAACATCACCTTCAGGTTCGGATTGGCCAGTACCACTGGTCATTTCAACATCCGATGCTACATCTCTTCCGTGTTGTGAGGAATCACGCGTTTTGGACGATGATTTCTTTTTGAATGCTCTACTAAATGAACTTCGTATCCAACTGGTATTCGAACCGGTTAATTTAAGTTTGGATTTCTTTTTCGTTTTACCATTAGCTATACTGCTATCGGTGGCAGCACCACAACTGGAAATACTATTAACCGATTCATTGGAAAGATATCGTTGAAATTTATCACCTAAAACATCATACAAAAAGATAAGAAAATTAATCATGGATAAAATAAAATAAAATATGGATTTTTGTGAAATAAAATAAAAATTTGTTTGTGATAAAAACAGCAATGAAATAAGGAATAAGCTGAATGGAAAACAAAACAAGAAAAAACATTAACGAATAGAAAAATATACCATCAATAATGTGGCCAGTAGCCAAAACTGTTGTATCATTAGTTAAATTATGATTAGTATCGTTAATACGGATAGGAGAAGGAGAAATTGATAAAGAAGATTTAGTAGAAAGATTATGGTTAAGATTTTTAGGATTTCGTTGTAATGATGAAGTTTTCAAAGTGGTGGAAAAGGAAGAGCAATAAGCATTAGTGGTTGCTTTTATATTGTTAACAAGTGAATTATTAAATGTATGTCGACGAATTAGTAAATTTTTAGCATTCTTCAACGAACGATGACCATGATGATGACGATGATGTTGATTTGATTGGGCGTGATTGTTTTGTTGATCGTGCTTGTCCACCGTGATCAAATCATCGCCATCATTCATCAAATCGTTAGAAAGATCATCATCATCATCATCATCATCATCATTGTCGACATCATCAACGCCGTCACCATTCACAGCATGAGAATTTTTTTCTTTATATTTAGATAATATCTGAATCATTGAATTATAACCATCGTTACCATTGATACCAAGTGGATTCATGATTGTTGCCGATTTTGCATGTCCAACCAATGATCCACCTTGTTTTTTAAGTACATCAATCGTTTTACGTAAACGTTCCAATTCACAATCTTTAAGTTCACTTGTTGATGATAATTGTTGTAAACGTGTGGTCATCGATGATAATGATTGTTCGAATGCGGCTACCATATGTGCCTAAATATTTATTGATATAAATAAATAAATGAATGAATGAAGAAAAAAAAAAATTAGTATATATCGAAAAAAAAACTGAAAATAGAATAAATAAAACAATCAAAAAAGAAAAAAAAACATAAAATTTTGACCTAACATTACTGATATAAGCTGTTAAATCTCTAAGGATAGTCGTAATATTTTCAAGGTAAAAAAAAAAAAAAAGAAATCACCGGGCAACAGGTATGCCTATATTGACCAAAATAGGCCATCGGTTTATCATGCATATATATTCAACAATGGAAAACAACAATAATATTTACATAGTAAAACAAATACACCAATTTTGACCAAATTCAATAAATCATAATGTTTTCTAATGATTATGTTTTTTTTTATACATTTGGTATTTGAACTGATTTAAACTGTACGCTACTACTTGAAATTCATTTAGATATATTCAAAATGGCTTGAATAATAATAATAATAAAAAAAAAATCAAGTATGAATGAAATCATTCATTTTTCTGTCTATCTGAACGATAAACACAACAGACACTTGTTGTTGTTGTTGACAGTTAATGACAACAGAGATCAAAAATCCATTTTTGATATGGTTCATTTGGATCATTTTAAATATATTCCTGGCCATGACGATACAACAATCATTAATGTTCTTTGAATATTGATCGAACAATGATTTGATTATCGTTTCAAAAACAAAACAAAACTATAAATAAATTCATTCATTCATTCATTTAGGGGAATCTTTCATTTCAAGTTCAAGCCAGATTACTTTCTGTTCATTATAATTGGAAATTAAAAAAAAAATGAGCTGAAATTCCCATAATTAAAATTATTTGTTCACAAACATGCTGGTCGTTCGCTGTGTGTGTGTGTGTGTGTTCTCTGTGGTGGTCACACAAAATTGAATATTTTTTTTTTTGTTTTGCAACCTGTCAACAACCTTATCTTGACTGCCATGGAGATATCGGTGTTGCTGCTGCTGCTGCTGCTGCTGTTGTTGTTTATTCTCATTATTATGATCGTTGTGCTGGTTTTGCTGTTGTTGTGTTGAATTCATAGTTTCATCATCATCATCATCATCATCGTTTGTTTCGATCGGTTTCGTAAATCTAACAAGATCATATGTCATGGACAATGGGCGTTTTTTAATAATACCGGCAGTCATTGACGATTTTTCCGGTTGTTGTGGTTGCAATCGAAACGTATCATTAATATTCGATCGTTGACCATTTGCCATCATCTTCATCAATGATGATGATGATGAAGAATGATGTACATTTTGATAATCATATAGATTATTACCATCGATAACCATTGTTGAACAATTATAATTTGGTTGCAGTGAAATATTTGATCGATTTATCGAACGAAACTTTTTCATCGATATACGTTCTCTCATACTGGCAAAACGAGAGGATGAAAAATAACGTTCGAAATAACGATTCAATGGCGATGAAAACGATGATGATGTTGTGATGATGATGATGATGATGATGATGATGATGACGTTGTTGATGGTGTTGATAATGTATGTGTTTGTTGCTGCATACCGTTTGCTAATTTATGATAATTAAAGTCATTGATGGAATTTCTTCGAACACCTACACGCGAATTTATCATTGAAGGCAATGTCGATGATGATGGTGATGATGAAGTTGTCGAATTCCATGATGATTTCAACATAAGAAATTCTCTCCAGATTTTATCCTTCCAAAATGTTTTCAATCTATTATGATGGTTAAAATTTTCTTGTAATCGTCGTTTTATCTTGTTGTTCTTGTCATGATTGTTTTTTCCATTGAATGCGGATGTAGGCAACGATGATGATTGATCTTCAACATAATCATTTGTTATTGTTGGTCGATAACAAAAGTAATTGTTTTTACGTGAGTTTAATAAAGGTGTTGATGTTTGTGTTGTTGTTGTTGCTCGATTATTGTTGTTTCGAAATTTTTCATCATCGACAAAATGATGATGATGATGATGATAGAATTTTTGGACGATAAAATTTACTTAAACGCATAGAAAGATTTCGAAGACTTTGTCTAGAACGTGAACGAAATGATGAGTAACGATTAAAGGACAAAATGTTCGTTCCTGTATGATGATGATGATGATGATGATTATGATTATGATGGCTTTTAGAATTCGATGGAATACTAAGATCAAACATTCGAGCTACACGTTCACGTTGTTGTCGTTCTAATTCATCGAAATAATCTTCTTCACTATCTTGATCTTCATCTACTTCAGTTATATCTTCAACAGAACAACCGTATGCATCAACAGAAGCTCCTGTAATAAAATCTTCATTTGAACTTTGTAGATCTTCTTCATCCTCATCTTCGTCATCATCTGGATCCAATCCATCTTCATCGATTGTGCCATAAAAATTGGGCATAGTTCGTGGTCTAGTCAACGATGATTTATTATTATTATTCAATGATGATTGTGATGGAAGCTGTATTGAATCACAAGCATAATATAATTTTGTTGATGGTCCTGAATTTGATGAATATTCATCGAATGTTGATGTGACAGATTCAGTAAATGTCACTGTATCTGATGTTTCAGTTGGTGGTGTTATGGCTATTGGATGAAAATTATGATTCTCAACACGAGATGAATAATAATGATCATTGAAAGATGTCCATGATGATAAGTGGCCATTAAAACTAGTTGATGTTGGCAATGATGTTTGATTTGAACACAATGAATCTTGATTTTTGTAATTTAATGTATTATAGAAATTAAGATAATCGGATTGTGGTGATATTGGAGCCATTATCGATCCTGTTTCAATCGAATGTCCATTACAAGATTGTTCACCAACATTACCATAAGGTCTTGGCGGTATCATTGATGATGATGATGATGTATCATTAGTAGTGTTTGTTGAAAATGATTGTGGTTTAGCAAAAGATGTTGTCGATGATACAAGGCCACCACAAATCCATCCACGTGATGATAACAGATCATTATTCATCATAATATTCGCATTATCACGAATGTTTGTGGTCAATAACGTTGGATTGACCGATGAAATTATCGATGTTGATGAACGACGATTACGTCGTGGTAATGTACAATATAAAGACATGTTCATTCATTTAGTTTGATTTATTTCATCGATGAGATGATTATATATAATGAGATCAACAATTTATTATGAATTGATCATTGTATTTGTACAAACTACCGTACACACACACACACACACACACCAATCATGTTTGATCAAAAATATTTGACTTTGGCATTGTTTGATTGAATGAACAGAATTGAATAAACTACATTTTTTTTCAAACAAACAAACAAACAAACAAAAACACACACACACAGACACAACAGACAAATACACACTATCAACCGATACGAACAAATTGTTCATGAACACTGAACAAAAAAAAAACTTGACAAGAGAAAACAAAAAAACTGGACGGGAATATCGATGTAAAAAAAACCCGTCACAAGCTGAACAGATAAAATACAGAGGAGAAAAAAAATCCAACTAAAACAAATTGCCCGCAAAAAAAAACAGAAATAAATATTCGACGATGTCTTCACCACCATCATCGTTTGCTTTTCTCTCTCTCTCTCTCACACACATACACAAATTCTCATTTCAATGTTTCTCTCGACATAACTTTTCAAAACATTCGATGATGTCGACTATCAACATCAAAAAAAAAAAAAAAAAAATTGCATAGCAATACTATGGTTTGTTCGTATAGGTGTTTTCTCTTTTCATTCGATAAGTTTATATATGAATTTTATTATTCTCCACTTTTTGTTTTTATCTTGTTGGTTGGTTTGCTGTTATAGCAAATGAAAACCTACACTGACACACACACACAGTATCGGTCGTACTCTATAGTAATACATGCATCACATGGTTTGTTTGCAACAAATTCAATCAAAAAAAAAAAAAAAAATGAAATGAAATTGAGAGAAGCCAAATCTATATTATTAGCTTGATAAAAGAAAAAGAGAAACCTAGGCAGCAATCGAACTAAAACAAGATTGAACCTATATGTTGTTTTTTTTTGGTTCATTCCAGATTTTTTTTCTATCCATCCATATAATAATAATGAAACCAATATAAATACAAATGGAACGAAATGAAATATTCGAAAAGGAGAGCAAAATTAAATGATCGAAAAGGAAAGTTTCTCCTTTTCAGGTCCTAATCATCATCATCATCATGTTCACTGATGAATGATTATGATGATGATGGTTTGTTGTGGTAATAATAATTTTGATGGTTATATAATGATGATGATCATCATCATCATCCGAATCATGATGAGATTCTCAAGTATAGATAGCTTGAACATTTGAAAAAAATCCAAACATTTAAGATGTACGTTTGTGATATATGAAGATTAATAATCATCAGCAGTTACTTTCACTTGTGATGAATAATAACCCTTTTTCATTATAGAAACAGATAAGCAAGATAAGCATATAATATATATTCTGTTTATATCGGTTAATTCCATTCAAATCCGACAGGTTCAATGGATAATAAAAAAAAAAAACCTGTTTTGTGCTAATGAACCATACGATCGAATCACAAATTCCATAATGTTTTTTTTTTTGTTTACAAATCAATGGTAAACGCCTTTGATGGTGAAAAATAAAAATCAAAGAATCAGTTTTTTGCTTCATTTACAATTTTTTTTTTTGCTTTTGTTTGGTGTGAAACAAAAAAAAAAAAATTTCGTTTCAAAATTATTATGATGGTTTATAATAATAATCTTTAATATTGTGATCATAGAAATCACAGAGTAAAATTAAAAAAAAAAAAAAAAAAACACACAAACAGGGTGGTGTACACACACACACACCAATACTAATCAAACACGATAGAAAATTGTATATTCATTCAATGAACTGGTTTTCATATCCAAAAAAAAAAAAAAAAAAAAAATATGATAATTATATGATGACACGAGGTCACGTTGTAAATGTTATAAATGTAAGCATGCGAATCAAAAAAAAAAAACCAAATTTCGCGTGTTCATCACCAATCACCAAATGGTTGAATCATACAAAATATTATGATATTCATAATCGAATCAAAATGGAAATGATATCATGATGATGATGATGAAAAACCCAAAATTATGTAGCGTAGGTTTTGTTTGTATGTGTGTGCGTGTGCATGTGTGTCCGAATAAACCCATTTTAATCAATAAAATAATCATTTTTTTTCTCTCCAATCGAATGATCATTGAGATTCTTTTTTTTTTTTTTTGGTCATCATCATATTATATTTAGAAATTTGTTTAAAACAAAACCGAAAACAGAAAATGTTTTTTTTCATGAAAAAAATAAATAAATATATTCAATTTAGTGATGCCATTTTGACATGGTATGTATAAAAAAAGTTTGTTTTTAATTTTACCATTAAAATACATTCCAAACGAATTGAATCTTGTTTGGACAATTTACCGTCTTCATAGTGGTCCATGGCATGAAATTTTTTTATTTATTTTCGTTATTTTTGTTTAGTTTCGTTTCGTTTTGTTTTGTTTTGTTTCGTTTTGTTTTGTTTTGTTTTGTTTGTTTGTCTGTCTGTCTATCTATGATCCAAAGGAAAACATACGATATCATCACCATATCATGGAAAGAGATAAAAAAAATACGATTGGATCTTGTTGTTTTTTTGTTGTTGTTGTTGTTATGATGATACGTATCGGATCGTCATTAAATAACAATGTCCATATAATTTCGTTTTTTTTTTTTTTTACTAGATAGATATTTGATATATTTGACTATTTTCGGAACATTAAACATTAAAACAACAACAACAACAACAACAACAACAACGACAGTAACAATCAAACGTGGAATGTAAAAGCAAAAGCCAACAAAATGCAATGACACGATCTGGAACAGTGAATTTTATGGAATAGCATAAACATACACACACACACACACACGCAAACACTGACATCAGGAACAAAGAAGAGATGATGATGATGATGATTATTATTATGATTGTTGAATAATAATGATGATTTGAGTTGATTTAAATTTTTTTTTTCAACCAGAAAATTTGCATATTTTTTTTATCTATTTCAATTGTTTAGTTTAAATACATTCAAAATTGTAAAATTTACATTCAATCAATTGAACTGATTCACTGCTACAATAATCTGGTTATAATATTGGGTATTTTTTGATGAAAAAAAAAATTTATTGCCAAAAAAAGATCAAATCCTTGAAAGAAGATTACAATACCAGTTTTCTTTCTTCTTTTTTTTTCATTCGATGGCAGTGTTGGCGTCGGTCAATGTAATTAATTAAATTGATAATATATTGTGTAAGAGCCATCATCATTATCATTAACATTAACATCAACATCATTTTCAAGTAAATTGTTTAGCCGGTTTTGTAAAGCAACCATCATCATCATCATCATTATTATCGTTGATAAAGAAAATCCCACTAAAAGATTTATTAGAATCAACAAATTAGAAACAATAATAACAACTACAGCAACAACTACCTGTTGATTTGATCTCCTTTGGGCGTTTTTTTTATATATTAAAGGAATTTTATTATGGAAAATTCATTAACATACCTATTGGTGTACATTGATGATTGAAAAAAAAAAATAAAATTGATCGACACTCATATCAATTTGATTGGCAATCAATTAATTCTTTTTTAAAAAACAAATTGACGCCATAGATTAAATCGATTGGTCCTAATCATCATCATCATCATCATCATCCATGGTAATTTGCCACAGAAATAAATTGATCATCATCAAAAGAAATAGGGCGAAAAAATGGAAAACAGTAAAAACAAAAAAAAAAAAAAAAAATTGGACAACTGTGAAAAATTTTCGACTTTTTTCTATTTTAAGAATGTGCAACATTTTTTTTCTTATTTTTGTTCTCCTTTATATATACAATTATTATGATATGAAAACATATATGAAAAATAGCAAAAAAAAAATTGCCAGAAATATCCATATATGCAACTACTAGTGAATAGCCAGTAAATAAATTAATTATAACATCAGTAAATTGTAAAAACGTCAAGGTGATTTACGGCACAATAACGTTATCAATGATGATAATGTTCCAAGTTTAGACACAAACTGATGATTGTTCAACCAAACAATTTTTTTTTTGGTCACTTTTTTCCAAACAAAAAAAAAAAACAATAAAACAAACAGATCAGACTATAGTTTTAATGTGATGGTCATTATGTTTATTGTTTTTTTCTAGAGTTTAAAATTTAAAAACTCAAATACCATTCGTTCAAGGATGTGAATTTTGAAAAGAAATTTATTTCCTTGATTTTGATGGAATTTTTTCCATTATTCATTAAAAGATTTTCGTTGTTATTGTGGTTGTTGTTGCACTTAAAAGCAAACAATCGGATTCTCAAACAAAAAACGATAATTCTCGGTTGTGGAAAAAAAACAAACGAAAACAAATGCCATTTGATTTGGATAGTTTCATATTTTTGATTATTTTTTTTTGTTATATAATCGAGTAAGAAGATGATTATTATCGTCATCGTCATAGGAAATACAAGTTTCCCACGATGAATGAATTGGGATGACAAGTGAAAAAAAAATTCGGTTCCAAAATGACAACGAAATGAAAGTGAATTTGACATCGGATTTTCGATTTTCTTCACACACAGACATTATTTTAGCGTTGAAAGATTTAATCATGTATATTGCTGATGTATTACAATCATCATCATCATCATCATATTATTGACATCATTGAATGAAAACATTAAAAGTTTTTTTTTTGTATCTTATTTATTTCTGATTTTTTTTTTATTTTTGTTCATTTCGTTTTGCTTATCATTCTGTGAATCTTTCAGATGATGGTTTGTTGTTGTTGTTTTTTGATTTTTCATTTCTTCACTCTCTCGTTATGTGCCGATTGAATTGCAAACTTTTTTCAAACATAAATTCGTGAAATAAAAAGCAACACACGAGATTTTCCTACATAACTGGTAAGTAGTTTGAAAGAGATTGAACTGATTATTTTCACTTTTTTTTCCAAAAAAAAGTAAAATTTTTTGATTTTCAAAACTACTAGGAAAAAAATGGCCACTTTCTATTTCTATCATCAATTTCTATTACCAAATAAAAAATAAAATAACAAGTGTCGATTGCCTTTTGTATAAAGATGATGATGATGATGATACAGGTGTGTGTGTGTTTGTGTGTGTC